CGTTTGAACTTCCGTTCATGCCGCTGCCTTTCTCAACAAACCGCCAAGCGCCGCGTCGGCTGCAGCGGAACCACTAGCAGCTCCTCCCTCAGCGGAAAACCCGTAGTGAACTCAGGAAATGATTCTTCGTCGTTTGTGTTGAATGATACTGCTCGATCTGAATGGCACCTCAATCCTCATTACGCGCTGCCTCCACGTCAGCAGCACTCTGCACAGGTGGATAGACATGAGGCAGCAGGAAGGGGGGAAAGCAGAGGGGAGAACAGACGACAAAGATGAGGTCGGGAGCAAAAAGGATTTGGGTGAGGGGCAGAAGAAAGAGGAGGATAAACAGGGCAGGGGAATTAGGGCAGAGAGATTAGGCTAGGGAAATGAGAGTAGGGAAATCAGGGAAGGGATAATGAGGCAGGGCAGGGAGATCCCCATGGCAGCGACGATCGGCGCCCTACCTGAATGGCGGCCTTCCGGACGCTCTTGCAGGCAGCGATCTCTCTTAGATCTCCAGGTGCTGCGGTGCACGTATCTCCTTATCACACCGTACTGCCGCCTGCCTACCTCCCTCCTCAGCACCACCCGCTGCGGCCGAATGTTCTCCTCTTGTCGCCTCAGCACCTCGCTTTCTTCTGCTGGTGGGAATGCGAGTCCTTAGAAGGTTGTTTTCCGAGGCTGCAGGTTCGGATCTCGAGTCGAGAGGTGACTCCGAGGCAGGGACCGGAACCTGAGGCTGATATCTGCTGATCGGCAGGTGCTGAATTGACAGATTGACAGCATTGACTGCATTGACTGCATTCACTCCATTCAATGCAGTCAGCAGCAGTGGTTGCCGCGTTCAATGCATCGATTGTGTTGACTGTAGGCGGTGTAAGCATGGACTGCTTAGAATGCGTTGACTTGGTTGAGCCCATCAGGCGCGTCGCGGAACCACTGCCGCATCAGCCGCTGCCGCTGCTTCCGCCCCAGCGCCAATCGCACTGGTGGCGTTTGAGCCAATGACGCCGCTGCTTCATTCAACCAATCCTCAAGCGCCATGTCAGCGAATGTGGTACCACCAGAAGCTTCCCCGTCGGAGGGCGCAAAGAAGTCAGTCGAGCAGGAAGTTCCTTCCGCGGAACTAAAGGCGGAAGAGAACGCGGAAGGGGAGGCGGGGAAGTCGAGAGCGGCCGTGGGGCTGCGGCAGATCATGTCGCGGTGTCGCGGGGTCGCCATGGCGCCATCCGAGGTGATGGCGCCGCAGAAAGCGCCGTCATCGCCGACGGCAGCGTCGCTGAGCTGAATCAGAAAGGCCCTTCGGGAATTCAGCGGCAGCGGCGCGTCGCCGCCGAGACAATGTCGACTCCCGCCGCCGCCGCCGCCAGTGGCGCTGCAAGCGGGGTTTGCGGCGCGATCTCGCCGGGTCGCGGCGGAGCTGGACGACATGATATGATTCAACGCGGCGTTGGACTCGTCGGAATTGCGCGCGATAGCTCCTGGTAGTCGAAACGGCGAGAAACTGCGAGAAACGGCGGATTGCTGATTGCCGAGATTCAGGGGCCTTTGAATGAGCGATCGAGCAACGAGCGAGCGAGGGAAAGCAGTGAGGCGGAGGGGTTTCGGGGAATGGCTGTGCTGCGACTGCGATGATGGGTGAACTCGATCGAACGGCTCTGTTTGCAGTACTCAGAGTGTTTTCATACTGATCGAGGGGGATCACGTCGCGGCGCGGCCCATGTGGACGTGGATAATAGCCGCGGCGTATTGATGGACGGGGGGAACGAGTTTTGACGCGGACCGTGAGATGAATGGATGGAGCTGCGTGGAAGGAGAGGAGAGAAGAGGAGAAGAAACATTCCCCCCGACGCGTAAAACGGGCTTGTACATGGATAGGGCTGTGCAGTGAATGCCCTCAGCGGTAAGTAACCAATGAGGGCTCGACTAAGTCCACGCCATGCGCTCGACCACCAATACCGACTCAGCGTCATACTCAGCGCCGGTATAGTAACTGTCAGTTGCCGATGTGGGGAGAGCGCCCGACGAGAGAGGTAAGAGTGACGACATCGCGTAGGCGGGGGGAGAAGGGGGGTAGAAAATGCCGGAGGGGGTAAGGGGGAGGCGTGACGCGCGGTTCGCGGGAGTCGGACTTTCCGCCGCACTGCGCTGCCAGCAATCGGCGGGGCATCAGCGGAACACCGATCGGCGGAGCACCGATCGGCGGAGCAGACAGCAGCGGAGCAGACAGCGGCGAGAGCGACCCATCCCATCCGTTTGCAAATCCCCGCCGCTCCTTGCTTGCCTTTGGCCTCAGGCCAAGCCACGACAGATCACATTACGTCCCCGAATTCGACGCCACGTCATCATCCGTCGCTCGCGATCAGATCATATCAGATCAGCCTCTACGACAAATTTGACTCGGGGAGAGTCTCGTACTACTGTAGCTCTACCGTGCGATGGCTGTCTTGTAGTAATCGCGCAAAGGTGGACAGCGACTAGCAGTGGTGGATGAGCCAGCGCTGCAAAGGACTGGTAGAAAGCTAGTGTCGGGCGGTAGAAAGGGTTTTGCGTAATTTCTCACACACAGCTAGTGTCGGCCCGAATAGAGCACACACAGGTTTCGGCGAAATTTGCACTCAGTTTCTGTGTGTGTGAGAGTGCAGCTGACTAGCGTTGTGACGGCTAAGGGCGGGGGCAGCGCGTTCATTTTCGCCACTTTTCCAAAATTTGGACGCCCGTCGAATCTGGAAGATACTGTAGCATTTTTGTACCGCGCTTAGTTTGTGTCCCAGGTGGGACACGCGCGTCCAAAATTACGCACAGGTCTTGCCACACTTTTGCCTAACCGCCCACCCAATGAGGTAACCCTGTGCGACAGAGTTCTGGTTGTGTTTGTGAACCCCTGAATTTGCGAGGGTCGTAAGCGCTTGACGAAGTCGTGACGCGGTTTCGCTGACCTGCACACAAGCATTCTCGAATGATGCGCGGGTTGTTCGCGGCCGTCGTGGGTACGTGTTTTGTTCGGTTGACGGCACGGAAAACAGCCACCGTTCATCCACTGTATGTTCTGTCGTGTCCACATGTTACCCTAAATCAGGGTTACAAACCGCTGAATCTGGTAACTGTTTCGGGCTAAGCCAGGAAAATGAACGCGCTGCCCCCGCCCTAACGCGGATGGGGGTACGCAGAAATAAATTTTGCTGGGTTTTGAGAGAGTGTGTGAGGGTGTGTCCAAAAAATACGTCCGATTGCGGCTTGGTACGATCTAGAGCGGTCTGTTTTAGCATTAAAATGGTTGGGTATGGTTTTGTTACGATTACGTACGGTTTTAGCATTAGAATGGTTGGGTACAGCTATACATCTCGTGGTTCTCCTGAGTAGGAGGGAGTTGGAGGGACGGAACTGTACAGCAAATGCTGTGTCAGCCCGTGACTATTTTTCTGGACGGTTCTGAAGATGATGACGTTACAACGAACTGCTTGTCTTTTCAGCACACTTGCTTCCCCTGCCCAGCGAGTTTATTCAAGAACGCTAAATACGTTTTCGCATGTATTCGACTTGCGCAAATCGTGACCGATTCAGCTGCTTGCTTGCTGTGAAGGAGAGCAAATGGGTGCTTCCTTGCCGATACTAGAACCGTCTAGTCTCCTCATAAGGGGAGGTGTCTATACACGAAGTTTAGGGGAGGGTGTTTACGCTGACAGCTTGAGGAGGGATGGATTTCGGATGGTGGTGACCCCCGTGATCGCACCAACAAATCAAGAGCTGCAAAATATGCCAAATCAGGGAGCGTTTTGCATTCGTTGCTGATCTGCCTGGGCCAAGCAGCAAACGAAAAAACACGAGGCTTTCCAAAAAGCGTGGAGTGGGCGGGGTGGTGCTGCGCTGGTGAGCCTTCCCTCGCAAAACATGCCAGCGTGTCGTGGTGGCGTGGGATTTTCGGGCATTTGTCCAATGCGCATGAGAGAGAACTTAGAATTGGATTCTGGAAAGATTTACGTGATCTTTCCAGTAGCATGAGAGAACCTGGACTCCAATTCGGCATGGATTCATGCTATTCGTCGCCACATCTCTGCGGAGACCGCCTTGTGCCGTCTTATAGACATGCTTCCCTTATATAACATGCCAAACATTTGTAAAGTGGGGCTAAAGCATTGAAGGATGAATCTAATAAAGCTTTATGGGTATGAACACATTTTATTTTGTTATGCTAGGTATATACATTCAGTGTGGGACTGAATGACGTCGGGCTGGACTAACGGCAAAATGACCAGTGTCAAGCTACTAATTATTTACCCTTTCTTTGAAACCATCCTCCTACCAGCCACATAAGGGCACGTGTCTTTTGGTGAAGATTGTCAAAGTTCGAGCCTAGTACCGCTTTGTAACGTGGCGACACGTCTCTCAACTGTATCCCACCGCGTACAACCTTTCTAAAAGTTCAACTTTTGGCCAAAGTTAAAGCCCGGGTACAGCATGGTATTTTTCAAGTTCAAGATTCTTGAACTTGAAGTCGTTAAAAACAGGGTTACCCTCTTTTGTTTGAAAGAACTCTCGCGACCCAGGGAAAACTTCTTGCGACGGTCATTCCTGATTGGTTCCTGTGCCCAATCGCACGACAGATCCGAACATCGCCCACCAGGTTGCCATGCTCACCTCTCACATAACTTGACAACCAAGTAGTACTCCTAATCCGCTATGGTAGGCACGTATCTAGGAAACGCGCGGCAGGCGGTAAAAGCTAGTTCAGGTAGAAGCTTTTTTTTCCTTCCAGCTCTCGTCACCCCCGCTGTCAAGCCAATATCTGAGCAACACCCGCTTCTTGCCAAACACGCTATTACCCTACCATTTTCGCAGGCCACCCACGGGACGCCCGTTCTTGCGCACCACAGGTCGGCAAAGGCTGCTGGTTACCTCCATTACAACCCCCGCAACGCATTGGCCAGTATAGCATGATGGCCCGCCCAACAAACACTTTGCTACGATCCGCCTTCAGGTCACATCCTCGCCTCGTCTAGACACCCACACTTACTATGTGGCGAGTGCATCACCTCATCGTCCGCGCTTCCCTCGCGATTCGCACTACCCAAGTTACGAGCGCTGCTGCACTCGCGCATGCCCTCGTCGCCCGCGCGTCCCCTCGTCGCGCAATGTTTCCCTCGTCGCAAGCGTTTCCCCTCGCCACGGAGTTTGCCCTCGTCTCCCACGCTCACCCGCGCTCCCCACGCTTACCCGCGTTCCCCGCGCCCCGCGCATACCCGCGTCACCCACGCTTACCCGCGTCATCCCCACTTACCCGCGCTTACCCGCGTTTCCCGCGCGTACCCGCGTTTCCCGCGCTTACCCGAGGTCACCCGCGCTTTCCCGCATCATCACCGCTTGCCCGCGTCTCGCGCTCTTTCCCGCGTGTGAAAGGCTTACCCGAATCTCCCCTTTTTCTTCCCTCGTCGCTTGCGTTGCTCCTCAACGCCATCGCCTCCCGTTGTCGCCTCTGTTTCCCCCATCCACACACCACCAGCATTCCCCCCACTTATCCGCCTCCCTTTCCCCCCCCACACCACCAGCATTCCCCCCTCCTTCCTCCCTGCTTCCCCACTCCTTCCTCCCTGCTTCCCCACTCCTTCCTCCCTGCTTCCCCACTCCCTCCTCCCTGCTTCCCCACTCCCTCTTCCCTGCTTCCCCACTCCCTCCTCCCTGCTTCCTCCATCCCTCCGCCCTGCTTCCCCCCTCCCTCCGCCCTGCTTCCAGCTTCCCTCCGCCCTGCTTCCAGCTTCCCTCCGCCCTGCTTCCCCCCTCCCTCCGCCCTGCTTCCCCCCTCCTTCCGCCCTGCTTCCCCACTCCCTCTTCCCTGCTTCCCCACTCCCTCCTCCCTGCTTCCTCCATCCCTCCGCCCTGCTTCCCCCCTCCCTCCGCCCTGCTTCCGCCCTCCTTCTGCCATGCTTCCCCCCTCCCTCCGCCCTGCTTCCCCCCTCCCTCCGCCCTGCTTCCGCCCTCCTTCTGCCATGCTTCCCCCATCCCTCCGCTCTGCTTCCCCCCTCCCTATGCCCTGCTTCCCCCCTTCTTCTGCCATGCTTCCCCCCTCCCTCCGCTCTGCTTCCCCCCTCCCTATGCCCTGCTTCCCCCCTTCTTCTGCCATGCTTCCCCCACCCTCCGCCTTGCTTACCGCCACCCTCAGAGAGGTGAGCGCCACGCTTTACATGAGCCTTCGATTTCCCCGGCCTGCCCCTCCTCTCTCTCGATCTCACCATCTTTCCTCTCCCTCTCCATGTGCCTTTCCTCTCCCTCCCCATCTGCCTTTCCTCTCCCTCCCCATCTGCCTTTCCTCTCCCTCCCCATGTGGCTTTCCTCTCCCTCCCCATGTGCCTTTCCTCTCCCTCCCCATGTGCCTTTCCTCTCCCTCCCCATCTGCCTTTCCTCTCCCTCCCCATCTGCCTTTCCTCTCCCTTCCCATGTGCCTTTCCTCTCCCTCCCCATGTGGCTTTCCTCTCCCTCCCCATGTGCCTCTCCTCTCCCTCCCCATGTGCCTTTCCTCTCCCTCCCCATCTGCCTCTCCTCTCCCTCCACATGTGCCTCTCCTCTCCCTCCCCATGTGCCTCTCCACCCATTGCTCATCCCTTTGTTTCCGCTTCAAGCATGACCAGTTCGGGCTCAGAGGAGTTTGGCAGAGTAAAGGGAGCGCCGCAGGCTCAAGGAAGTGTTGAGCGAACCCTGAACAGTTAGAGCAGGAGACAACACTTGCATTTACCTTGAAATGTGTACACCATATTGCACAAGTTGCATACCTCAGTGCTGTGCCCAGTTGCATCATGTAATAATGCTTTATCGTAAGGTTTGCAAGTTACAGATGTTATCTATGTCATCAAAGCTATTGCATGCGCTGGAATCTTGAATGAACTGTTGTAATATGCTATCAGATCGTTTGATTGATACACTAATGCCACACACAAGCCGGTACAATTGTATACTGGTATTTAGTTCCACCAAGGTGCAAAGAGCTTCACTCAGGAACAACACGTCCCTCCTCCTGCCATTGTGGTGCTGTCAAGGAAGAAAAAAAACACAAAGGAGAGAAGAAACAGAGGGTAAGCTAGGAAGGGTGAGCAGGGGGGAGGAAGGCTAGCACGGGGAAAGGAAGGGTAAGCAAGGGGGAACCATAATGAACAGCAGGGAAATGAGGGGAATGTCAATAGAAATTACTATGGTAAATACAGCTGTGTCAAGCTGGGTAAGAAGGAAAAAAATATACTCATAGCATTTCATCATTTCTGGGCAGGTTTCGGCCATGACCTTCCAATCATTTCTGAGGGGTACAATCCATTCATACTCTCCTGCTGCTGCTGGATCTGAAATGCCTACCCCCGTAGAAATGGAGACTGGCCACAGCAAAGAGCACTATGAAGAGCGTGACACCAGCACTGCACACATCGCACTCCACACACTCAGCCATCCCCACCACCTCAAAAGCAGCAAAACTGGGAGCCATTTTCACAACGACGCCAAAGTTAATCAGTTTGGCGCTTTCAGGCGACTCTTGACACATGCCGAACATGGCTCCTGGGACGTCCTCGTTATAGGCACAGGTCCATATGAACAGGTCTCCCCCCTCACAGAAAATGGCATAATGGCACAGGGGTTCCCCCTCGCAAAGCTCCATCGCCACGTGCACGTGCTGGTGTTGGGAATGGAGTGCCAGAAAGAGGGGGAGAGATGGAAAGATTCAAGTGGAATGAGCAGGTGGAACCATGTTGGGAGTGCCAGAAGCGTTTACACGGCACGAATGAAGGGCGAGGGTAATGGGTCAGTGTCGTGGGAATTGGAGAGCAATGGCGACAGAAGGGCTTGGATTGGCGGGCCAAGTTTGAAGCATTGGAATGAGTCGGACGCGGCAACAGAGAAGTAAGCACTAGATGTCATTACTCGCACGTTTTCAACGGGCCAAAAGGGAACAGACAAGGGTAACTTACCCTGTGTGGCTGCGCAGCCTGCTTGTCCCGAATGATGCTGACGCGGATCTTGAGTTTCTCCATGAATGCCACCTCATTCCGCACTGCCTCCACGTCAGCAGCAAAGCTCTGCACATTCGGAAAGGCAAGAGGCACGAGGTATGGCGAAAAGGGAAGGAGAGCACAAACGCGAAAGTGGACAAGAGGCGAACGGATTCGGTTCAGGAGAAGACGAATCAGGAAGGAACATGAGGCAGATAGATCAGGGTGGGTTGATCAGGGTGGGGAGGTGAGATAGGACAGATAAGGGCAGGGAGATGACGTGGGAGGGAGCAGCCTACCTGAATGTCGAACTTCCGGATTCTACTTGCGCACGCAGCAATCTCCCCGGTGCTGCGGTGCACGCATCTCCATATCACGCCGTGCTGCCCCCTGCCTCTCTCCCTGCAGAAGTCACTCGCCGCCTCAAAACTGGCCCCACTTGCGCCTCCCCCACTTGCACCGCCCCCACTTGCACCGCCCCCACTTGCACCGCCCCCAATTGCACCTACCCCAGTTGCACCTCCCTTTCTTCCGCTGCTGTGTAAGCGAGGCTGTTTCCGAGGCTGCAGGCTCGGATTCTGCGTCAGAGAGTTGATTCCGAGGTCAGGAATCTGAGGCTGACGTCAGCAGGTGCTGAATTGACTGCATTGACCGCACACACTGCATCGATTCTGTTGACTCTGGGCGTTGTAAGCATGGACTGCTTAGAATGCGTTGACTGCGTTGACTCGGTTGGCGGGGCTGACTCCAGAAAATGCCCCGGCGGGTGGGAAGAGCTCATCAGGCGCGTCGCGGAACCACTGCCGCATCAGCCGCTGCCGCTGCTTCCGCCCCAGCGCCAATGGCATTCGTGCCGCAAATTGCGCTGGTGGCGTTTGAGCCAATGACACCGCTACTTCGTTCAACCAATCCTCAAGCGCCACGTCAGCTGATGCGGTACCATTAGCAGCTCTTTCGTCGAATGCGCCGAATGATTGTGCGGCATCGGGCAGCGGAATGGAGTCAGCGGAAGGAGACATGGGGAACGCGCGCGGCCGGGCGGAGGCGGAATGAGAGGCGGAAGTTCCTTCCGCGGAAGGGGAGGCGGAAGAGAACGCGGACGGGGAGGCGCAAGGGGAGACGCAAGGGGAGGGGGAAAGGGAGGCGGGGAAGTCGAGAGTGGTCGTCGGGCTCCAGCTCGTGTCGCCATCCACGTGTGGGGTGGTGTCACCGCAATTAGCGCCGTCACAGACGGAAGCGCTGAGCTGAATTCTCAGGGACGTTTCCGAAATCAGCGGCAATGACGCGCCGCGGCCCAGCCAATCATTCTCGTTGCCGCGGGGACTGGGGTTTGCGCGAGCTCGCCGCGACGCGGTGCTGGTCGACGATGTGCGACGCGACGCGAACGACATGATTCCAAGTTGGACGATTACGCCCCTAGTTGAAGTTGAAACGGCGTGGCGGAATTGCTACTAGCGAGCTTAGGGTTGAGCCGAAACGGGGAGATGTGGGAAATGGCTTGAGCTGCGGCCTGCTTTGCAAACCGAATCTGAAATATGCGCGTTCTGGATCTCGCGGTCCCTGCGGCGAGTTAGCATCAATCGAGTGCGGTAGCGGGTGAACGGCACGACAACGAGAGAGAGGGTTCATTCCTCTCCTCGCTTCGTTGGGTCAACTTGAAAGGACCACGAGGGTCTCTCGAGGCGCTAGTACTGTTGTACAGAGTAATGCCCGCCCACGGCGGTAAGATACTGTTCGGTGGTTCATGCACTCTGACGTGTCAGGATCGGGTAACCGTCATTGACGATTGCCGATGGGGATCTGATTTGATTCGCTAGTAGCGATGAGTCCGACTCGGGACGTAAAGGGGTGGGCGGCAAGCACGAATCGTGGTGGCGTTCTCTCGGGGAGGGTGGGGGGAGGGGAGAGAGGGGGGGCCGGGGGAGGGATGCGGAGGGGGAGGCGACGGGGGTAAGGAGAGATGCGACGCGCGACTCGCGGGAGTTGGACTACTCCCCGCACTGCACGGCCAGCCATCCATCTCCGCGGCGGAGCAATGATCAAACGGAGCAATTACTAACGATACTATTGGCGGAGAATTAAAGGCGGCGCCGAGAATCTCGGGGTGACCCATCCGTGCCAAGTTGGGACCCTCCGCTATGTCTCGCCGCTCATTGTCTCGGTCTATGTGCCAAATACACGCCACGTCAGCTCAACTTTATGAGTCGTCGATAAGCTGACGACGGATCGCGTCATCTTACATCAGCCTACTTGTCCTAATCGGACAGACTCGGTAAGTCTCGAGCTACTGTTCTACCGAGCATTTACTACGTTCATGCATTGCCTCGCCGTGCGAAAATTCGCAGAAAGCGAGGTCGCAATCTGGTTATCATCGTGAAATTGGCTTTGGTGGATGCCGTCGAAAGCGGGGTGAGGAAGGACTAGGTGGGTGAGAAGGATGAAGCGGATGGGATGAGACTGCGGAGCTACAAGATCGCGTCGCGAGGAAGCTTTTCTCCACCACAGATTCGGAAACCTCGACGCATGCGCTGCGCAGAGCTCGGTGCCGCAATTGTGAGGACGAAGCGAGCGCAAGAGAATCAGGGAGGATCTCGTAATCGATGCTGACCACTGTTTTTTTTCGCCGATTCCTATTTTCGGCAAATCGGGCGGAGCGAAGTCGAAAAAAGATACGCGTTGTGATTTTCGCGAGTCCCACATTTGTTAGTGTCGGACGCGGTAATACGCACAAATGCATAAATATATAGTCAGAGGCTACATATGAAGAACTTCGCACTTACATCACACAAGATACAACTATTAACTGATCAATTGTCCAAGACTCACCATCAGTACCTTTCTAGCACATTGAGAACATTGGGAAGCCCGCAATGTTCTTGGATGATCTCACTATGTATATCTAATATATGGCCAGTTCACAATTTTCAAGATACGGTACCGTAGCTCTCTTGTTGTTCCAAGCGAGCTGCAAAGGCTGGACCAGCAGGTTCAAGGAAATTACCCATCGTAAAATTTTCAGACTTTCACCTTTAGCACCCATCCAACTGCAATAAACACCACAGCAGCCTCGGACAACTCGTCAAGAAGCAACTATTCTGCGAAGAGAAATATACATCGCCGAATCATCACTTTGAAGTCAGGATCTGGAGGAGTGGTAGCAGTTGTTATGCCTTCTAGGATAGGTTGCTCCCAGGAGAAGTTGCCAGGATACTATCAGCAACAGCTGCATCCCTCCCTACCCATGCCAGAGTAGGGACACTGCCGAAGGGACCTACGGTACCGTCAGCCCCCGGATAGAAGCGCCCCTGGGGGTATAAAAAAACACTGTTTTTTAGGGGGTGCGCTTATAATTGAGGAATTTTATAAGAGCCGGCGCTTATAAAATGGCAAAGCAAGTTTATATTTGTTTTACACCAATCTGTACACCTTGTTCTGCCAATTGTAATCGAGTCGAATATATATGGTGTCGCGAATCTGATTCTCGCGCAACTTACGGTAGCAGGGATGTATTCCCTGCCAACACATGCTGACTAAGCGACAGCAAGTGCTGACTAGACGCGCAGCAAGTGTGATGTGAGTGGGAAAGTGGACCTGTACTTCGATTCCCTGGTAAAGAGAAATTCGTTTCTGCGTTTCGACTGATTTTCAGATTAAAAAATAGACATGCGCTTATAATAAATCAGAATTTTTTAAGGGGTGCGCTTATAATCGAGGACCGGATATAAGCGCCCTCATCCTTTTATAAGCACCGGCGCTTATCCGAGGCCTGCGCTTCTATCCGGGGGCTTACGGTATCAGCACCTGAAGGAGTCCACTTGTACAAGGTCACATTCACGCTGTATTGCGGTGCTGCAGTGCATTCATCACCTTATCACGCTGTACTGCAGTGTACGCATCTCCGTATCATGCCGTACTGCCCCCTGCCTATCTCCCTCTTGAGCAGGAACCACTGCTGCCGAATGTCACCCACTTGCCGGCCCAACACCGCTCCCACTTTCACCTCCCCCTTTTCCGCCCCCCCACTTGTGCCTCCCTCACTTTCACCTCCCCCACTTTCGCCTCCCCCAATTTCGCCTCCCCCACTTTCGCCTCCCCCACTTTCGCCTCCCTTGCTTCAGCTGCTGCAAAATGCGAGTTCACAGAGGATTGATTTCCAAGTCCGGCTAGCTGCCGGCTCGTACTCCGAGTCTGGGGCTGACTCCGTCCGCGGCTCAGAGTCTGAGGCTTGCGTCAGCAGGTGCTGCTTCAGAACAATCGCTGGCAGTTGACTGCATTGACTGGATTGACCGCGGTGACTGCATTGGCTGTGTTGACTGCATTCCTTGCATACACAGCGTTGACTTGGCTCCGTTTTATGCAGTGACTGTGCTCCATGCATTCAAGGCATGGACTGTTTCGAGTGCGTTGACTCAGTTGACTCGGTTGACTCGGCTGGCGCGGTTGACTTCAGGAAAATGCGGGAGAGACGAGCCCAGCAGGCGCATCGGGGAACCACTGCCGCATCAGCCGCTGCCGCTGCTTCCGCCCCACCACCATTGGCGCTGGCGCGGCAGTGGTTCGTACCATTGACATCGCTGCTAGTGCTTCGTTCAGCCAATCCTCAAGCGCCACGTCAGCTACCGCGGAGCCGCTGGTAGCAGCTCCTCCTTCAACAGAAGACGCGCAGGAAAACACGGCGGGGAACGGCTCTCTGCAGTCGATTGCGCCGAATCGCGCGGCATCTGACGGCCACGGAATGGAGTCAGAGAAAGAAGACGCGGGGAACTTGTGCGGCCACGCGGAGGCGGAAGGGGAAGCGAAAGGGGAGGCGGAAGGGGGGGCGGAAGGGGAGGCGAAAGGGGAGGCGAAAGGGGGGGCGGAAGGGGAGGCGAAAGGGGAGGCGAAAGGGGGGGCGGAAGGGGAGGCGAAAGGGGAGGCGAAAGGGGGGGCGGAAGGGGAGGCGAAAGGGGAGGCGGAAGGGGAGGCGGAAGGGGAGGCGGAAGGGGAGGCGAAAGAGAACGCGGAAGGGGAGGCGGGGAAGTCGAGAGTGGCCGTGGGGGTGCGGCAGCTCGTAGCGGCTGCCATTTCGGATGACGCTGCTGTCATTCCAGAAATGGTATGCGCCTCTGAATGGACATGATCCGAGGTGGTGGCGCCGCAGTAAGCGCCGTCATAGCCGGCGGCAGCGGCGCTGAGCTGAATCTGGATGGTCCGTCTGAAATTCGGCGTCTGTGGCGCGTTGCCGCCGAGACAACCATGACGATTCCCGCCGGCGGCGGCGGCAGCGGCGCTGGGATGCGCGGTTTCTCGCCGCGTCGCGGCGATGGTCGACGGCGTGTGATGCAACGACATGGTTTCGCTGGTGGAAACTGCGCGCGAATCGCGACTCCTGGTAGTCGACTTGGCGAGAAAAGGAGAGAAATTTCGGGAAACGGCAAATTGCGGATTGTCAGTGGGATGATCAAGAGCCGCCGTGGATGATCTGGTTTCGAATCGAAGAGACTAGACTCGAGGCGGGATTCGGGAAAGCCGGTGGCTTGAGCTGCGACTGCCAGCAGTGCTAGCTACTATGGAGAGCGAACTTGAAGCGACTCTGTTTGCAAATGCACTGTCGGCGAGCGGCGTTTTCATATCAAGTCGAGGTGGAAGGTGGACAAGGGCCGAGAACAGGGTGAGCGGGGGGACGAGGACGACTCGTCCTCCAAAACTCGGAAATTTGACGCGCTACAGTACAGTATTCGAGGCGGATCAATGGAGCTGTGTGGAAGGAGAGGAGAGGATAGATTCACTTCGACCCGAGTCGCGTCTCGACGCGTATAAGAGGGTTCACACGGACAGAGCTGTGCAGTGATTGCTCGGCGGTTATTAACCAATGAGCGCTCGACAAAGTCCATGTCATGCCCTCCGGCCACCAATACGGACTCAGCGCCATGATGACTCAGCGCCGGTAACTGTCAGTTACGTAGGGAGAAGGAGAGGGACTCCCTACGGTGGGCGGACCGATGGGCGGAGAGGAGGGGAGGGCCCGATGAGATGAGTGAAAGTGACGCTATGACGAATGTGGGCAGAGCACCGACGCGCGGAGGCGGGGGGGAGTGGGGGGGAGGGGAATGCAAAATCCCGGAGGGGGAAGGGGAGAGGCGCGACGCGCGGTTCACGGGAGTCGGACTTTCCCGCCGCGCTGCCAGCCATCGGCGGAGCAAATAAATGGCGGAGCATCGGCGGCAAGCATCAGCGGAACATCGATCATCGAAGCACCGATTGGCGGAGCAGATCAACGGCGAGAACGATCCACCGCCGTTGATCCCCCGCCCCACCCGCCACTCCCTGCCTTGGCCTGAGGCTCTGAGACCCCGCACGACACATCACACCGCCTTTGACGTCGCCGCGTCATCACGACAACAGATCAGCCTGAACTCGCGAAATCTGATCAGCCTCGACGACAGATTTGCGTCTCGGAGTGAGTCTCTGACCTACTGTAGGTCTGTACTGCCCAATGGCTGTCTTGAAGATCCAGCCTTGCGAGGGATCGGTCTCTGGCAGTGAAACCCTACCGAGGAGGACCTTGATGGGTTGCCATTAAAAGTAGAATTCTACTTACGTACAGTAGTAAGCACTGGCAGTAAAGGGTTTCGCGTAATTTCTCACGGTGTGAGCGAGGGTGGCACTGACAGTGGGAGAGCGCGCGTGGCAAGTAAGCGCGCTGACTCGGCTACTAACTAAGCGCGGAACTAAGAGCCAGTGCTCCGAATGCCTATTGGATTTCATTGGGTGGGCAAGTGTGCAGTGCTGAGTAAGTTCTGTGAGGGCCAAAACGGCTCGTGAGAAAAATAGGTAGTTTTTGCTGGGCTGGTTGGGAGCGGGAGAGCTGGTCTGCATTTTCGGGCTTCTCTCTACGTCCACACGAAACCCGCAAAACGAAAATTGGAGAGCAGGAGAATTGGCCTGCATTGGCTGTACAGTATCTTCTGTGTCAGTCCGTGACTATTTTTCTGGACGGTTCTGAAAGATGTAAGGAGAGGAGGAGTCGTGACGTGATAACGAGATATGAATGACGTCAGCAGACATCTTCTGAAGCGGAAGTTACCCGGACACACCAAGAGATGTCACCCACAGGAGCTCAACTTTGCCCGTAACGAAATCAGCGAAGATTTGCGAAGGCAGCATGTGGGGACGCTGCAAGAATCTGTGGTTCTGTGAAACGCCAAATCAGGGAGCATCTTGCAATCCGTGTTGATCTGCCGGACCCCAGCAGCAAACGAAAACCTCCAGTCGCTGCTGCGCTCAACAGCCCCTGAAAGGCTCCGCCCAATGCTCATGAGTCATGAGGGTGAACCTGCGCTGTATTTTCCCAAAGGTTCATGCGATATGCCTGTCTACATGCCAAATCAGTGAACGTAGACCACACAATGAAAGAACAGTAAACGAATCGAAAAACTTTAGGATATTAACACAAGTAATAAAAGTTCTCTAGATATGAGATTAGAGAGAAAAGCAAACATACCGCATGATAATGGAGGAGCTTATATACAGCATGGAAGCTTCACGTCCAGTATTGATACCCCCCTTTTTCTCACCATGCTAATTGTGAGGATTTGATAATGTGTGGGTTTGGCTGGCTAACGGTGGGAGACAGGAAAATCTCTCCAAAATGGACAAAGAAAAATCAACACATCGTAATCGCCCCTTGTGTTACACTAATACTACTACTGCTATCTTCGTCTTCTACTCATGTGGCAAGGAACCAGAAGTTGGACCAAAGTTACTGATATTTACCTTTGCTTCAAACCTACCCTCCAACCAGTTGCAAAAGGGAATGTCAACTCAGAAAGTGCTACGGAAAATACAGCTGTGGCAATTATACATTCATACCGGTTCCAACAATGACTTTCTGATCCTTTCCAAGGTCACAATCCATTCATGCTGTGCAAAACAGCCACTCGTTGCATTGGGTGGCTGGTGACAACAGCTCCTGCCGCTCCGGCTGTGGTTGAACCCCCTCTTCTTTCACCTCCACCACCCTCTGCCACACACCCTCATCACCTGCTGCTCCCTCCTCCCCACTGCTGCTGCCCTTCCTGTCTTCTCCTGCTGCTCTACTGCTCCGCTTCTCCTGCTCCTGCTGCTCCTGGTGCTGCTGGAGTTGAAAGGCCTACTCCGTAGGGATGGAGTCTGGCCTATGAAGAGCACAACACCAGCCCCACATACGTCGCACTCACGGCCGTATTTCCCGGACGATACCTCAGGAGCCATATACTCTGCCGTCCCCACCACCTCAGAAAGAGGAACACCGGGAGCCATTCTTGCATCAGTTTGGCGCTTTTGGGCGGTTCGGACGATTCTGGACACATGCTGAACATGGCTCCTAGGACGTCCTCGTTATAAGCACAGTTCCATACAAACAGGTCTCCAGACCTCCGTCACCATGTGCACGTGCTGGAGGTGAGAAGGGTGTGGCTGAAAGAGGGGAGGGATGGAAAGAGAAATGAGAAAAGAAAGCGAAGCAAGGGTGAGCGTGTTAAGATGGAGTGTGCTCGAAACGCTCACAGGACACGAACGAACGGTGTGGGTTATGGGTGAGTGTACTGGGATTTAGATAGCAATGGCAACAGAAGGGCTTGTATTGGAGGGTCAAGTCCGAAGTACTGGAATGAGCCTGACGCGGCAACACAGGTTTGAGCACCAGGAGTCATAACTCATACATTTACAATGGGGCAGAGGGTAACAGACAAGGGTAACTTACCCCGTGCGTCTGTGCAGCCTGCTCGTCCGTACCTCTTGAGTTCCTCCACGAATTCAAGGCATTGAAAGCATGGACTTCTTCAAATGTTTTGACTCATCTGACTCAGTTGACCTGGTTGACTTGGTTGACTCAGTTGACTTGGCTGGTTCGGTTGACTTGAGGAAACGCGGGCGAAACGAGCTTATGAGGAGCATCATCGAACCACTGCCGCATCAGCCGTTGCTGCTGCTTCCGCCCCAGCACCCCTGGTGCCTTTCCAACCCCCAACGCCGCTACTTCCTCGAACCAATCCTCAAGCGCCATGTCAGCTTCCGCGGTACCGCTAGCATCTCCTCCCGCAACCAAAGCCCTGCAGGGAAACGCGGATTCTCCGTCCATTGCGCTGAATCGAGGGACATCATCGGACGGCCAGGGAATGGAGTCGGCGAAAGGAAAGGCGGAAGGGAACGGTGAAGAGATCGCGGAAGGGGAGGCGAAAGGGAAGCTTGGAGTCCCTTCCGCGGAAGGAAAGGCGGAAGAGTGTCAGAATGTTACTTGTCTAGCCTGCAGTGGGGTACTCAACAGTGAGTACAACCCTTTAGGGTTTCCTACTTGTATCCCAACTCTTGCTAGTTCAACCACCTCATTCTCACCATTCTCCTTCGCATACCCAAAACCCTAGTCCTAGGGCACATCCTACTACCTCTTAGTGTGGGCCTAGGCTACTAAGCCTAGGCCCCACTCCTATTGTTTCTAACATGGTATCAGAGCGAGCACGTTCCTGCCGCTTACCTCCATGGGCCCACCACCTGCTTCCGCTGCCGTACCGTCCGCCGCGCGCCCCGTGGTGCGCGGCGGCGAAACCCTAATTTTTCATCCCGCCGCGCGCTCGGAGCGTGCGGCGGTTTTCTGCCCGCCGTGCGCCCCGAGGCGCGCGGCGGCTTTCTGCCCCGTCACTCCGCGAGTCGCCCCCGGGAGGAGCTGCGACGGGCGACGGGGACCCGCGCGTCGCCCCCCGTCGCCCGTCGTGGCCCGTGCGACCTCCGTAGGGCCCGCGCGTGGCCCGTCCAGCCTGCGCGCGGCCCGTACGGGCTGCGCCAGGCCAGCGCGCGGCCCGTACGGACTGCGCCAGGCCAGGGCGCGCCTCGAGCCGCCCGCCACTGCAGCAGCAGCCCCTGGAGCCGCCAGCACCTGCAGCAGCAGCCCCTGGAGCCGCCAGCACCTGCAGCAGCAGCCCCTGGAGCCGCCCGCAACTGCTGCAGCAGCCCCTGGAGCCGCCAGCAACTGCAGCAGCAGCCCCTGGAGCCGCCCGCCACTGCAGCAGCCGCCCCTGGAGCCGCCCGCCACTGCAGCAGCCGCCCCTGGAGTCGCCCGCCACAGCAGCAGCCGCCCCTGGAGCAGCCGCCCCTGCAGCAGCCGCCCCTGGAGCCGCCAGCAACTGCAGCAGCCGCCCCTGGAGCAGCCGCCCCTGCAGCAGCCGCCCCTGGACCTCAGAAGCCGCCCCTGGACCCGGTACGCTCTGCTGCTGCCCGATGCTGCCCGTGCCTGTGCTGCCCGTGCCTTGTCCCTCGAGCCTACTACCTACCTACCTGTGCCTGTGCCTGTGCCTGTGCCTCTGCCTGTGCCTGTGCCTGTGCCTGTGCCTGCTCGTGCCTTGTGCCTCGAGCCTACTACCTACCTGCCTGTGCCTGTGCCTGTGCCTGTGCCTGTGCCTCTGCCTGTGCCTGTGCCTGTGCCTGTGCCTGCTCGTGCCTTGTGCCTCGAGCCTACTACCTACCTGCCTGTGCCTGTGCCTGTGCCTGTGCCTGTGCCTCTGCCTGTGCCTGTGCCTGTGCCTGCTCGTGCCTTGTGCCTCGAGCCTACTACCTACCTACCTGTGCCTGTGCCTGTGCCTGTGCCTCTGCCTGTGCCTGTGCCTGTGCCTGCTCGTGCCTTGTGCCTCGAGCCTACTACCTACCTGCCTGTGCCTGTGCCTGTGCCTCTGCCTGTGCCTGTGCCTGTGCCTGTGCCTGCTCGTGCCTTGTGCCTCGAGCCTCGTGCCTACCTACCTACCTGCCTATGCCTGTGCCTGTGCCTGTGCCTGTGCCTGTGCCTCGTGCCGTGTGCCTCGTGCCTCGTGCCCGCGCCCTCGTGCGCTCTGCTACTGTCTGCGCCCTCGTGCGCACTGTTCTGCTCTGCCCCCCCCCCCCCCCCCCCCCCCCCCCCCCTACCACAAGGGGTGTGGGGATGGCGGGTGTGGGAGTGCTCTGTTTGCGTCGCTCCTTTCCTCCTCCTCCTCCTTCCTCGTCTCCCACTGCTGCAGCTGCCGCTGAGGGGGGTGGATGTGTGGGAGCCGAGGGTTTAGGGTTTCAGGAGTGAAGGGGGAGTGGAGCTAGGGGTGAAGCAGTGGGTGTGTGGGGGGTGTGTGGGACAGTTGGGGGAGGTTGAGCCGAGGCTGCCGTCTTGTCGTCTGCAGCACCTGAAGTCCGGGGCTCTGTCTCGGTAGCGCAGAGTGAGTGCTACACCAGTCGCCCGTGGTGTCAGAATATTATGCTCTAGCCTGTAGTGGGGTGCTCTGTAGCGAGTACAACCCTTCTAGGGTTTGCTATTTGTATCCCCATTCTTGCTAGTTCATCCCTCTCTTTTGCCTAATTTTCTCAACATGCTATCAGAGCAGGACGATCCTGTTGGGTCGATCCTGTGGGTGGGCCCACCACCAAATGCTTCCGCTGCTGTTCTACTGGTCGCGCGACGCCTCCTTCCTGCCGCGCGCTCGGGAGCGCGCGGGGATTTTTTTTTTACGGATTTTTCATCCCGCCGCGCCCCGAGGCGCGCGGCGGTTTCCTCCCGTGGGGGATGCCCGCGTCCCCCCGATCCCGTCGCCCGCGGCCCCGCTTTCCCGTCGCCCGCGGCCCCCCGATCCCGTCGCCCGCGGCCCCGCTTTCCCGTCGCCCGCGGCCCCGCTTTCCCGTCGCCCGCGGCCCCTCGGTCCCGTCGCCCGCGGCCCCCCCCCGATCCCGTCGCCCGCGGCCCCGCTTTCCCGTCGCCCGCGGCCCCGCTTTCCCGTCGCCCGCGGCCCCGCTTTCCCGTCGCCCGCGGCCCCTCGGTCCCGTCGCCCGCGGCCCCCCCCCCCCCCCCCCCCCCCCCCCCCCCAATTCCCGTCACGGCGCCCTAAGGAGCCGCGCGCGGCCCCTCGCTGCCCCGTGGTGGCGTCCTGGGGGCCGCGCGCCGTCCCCCTCGCCGTCCCCCGCGCTCCTTCCCCCGTTCCGCCCGTTTTAGGGTTTGGGGGTGGAGAGTGTGGGGGTGGCGGCTATGGGGGTGTCGGTTGTGAGTTCCTCCCCCTGCTCCTCCTCCTCCCTCGTCTCCCTCTGCTACAGCTGCCGCTGAGGGGGGTGGTGTGTGGGAGCCTAGGGTTTGGGGTTTAAGGGGGGTACCGTCGGAGTGGAGCTAGGGTTTGAAGCAGGGGGTGTGTGTCGAGGGGTGTGGGACAGTTGGAGGAGGTTGAGCGGAGGCCGCCGTCGTGTAGTCCGCAGCGCCTGTATTCCGGGGGTCGATTAGCCACCGGTAGCTCAGAGAGCCGGTTGCGCCGTCGCCTGTGGGTCCGTTGCTCCTGCCGCGCATATTAGCCGCGGAGCCTGTTACTCCTGTACTCCGGGGCACTCATTCCCGGTAGCCACGTTGTCGCACCAGAGCCGTCTGTTGCCCGTGTGTCTGCAGCTTCAGTCGTCGCCTCCTATCTACTCTCCTCTCGCCAGCCCTCCTCCTCCTCACTTGCCCCCCGTGACTGCCTCTAGCTTTGCTCATAATTGTGAACCTTAAACTATTGCTTCTTGCTTGTGCTCAGAATGTGTGGTGACATTGTGATCCACCCTGAGCTTGTACTGCTTTGTTTCCTCTGCTGATTACACCCCACTTTGGCTATGGGGGTGTGTCAGAATATTATGCTCTAGCCTGTAGTGGGGTGCTCTGTAGCGAGTACAACCCTTCTAGGGTTTGCTATTTGTATCCCCATTCTTGCTAGTTCATCCCTCTCTTTTGCCTAATTTTCTCAACACGTGGGTCCGATGCTCCTGCCGCAGCTGCAGAGCCTGTTACTCCTGTATTCCGGGGTGCTTACCTCGGTAGCCACTGAGAGCTTGTGCTGCACCAGTTATCTGAGTCAGCCGCCATGTGACTGCAGCTCCAAACGACGTCTCCTATCTTCTCTCCCCTCACAGTCTCTCCTCCTCCTCACTTGCCCGTTGTGACTACCACTAGCTTTGCTCATAGTTGTGAACTTTAAACTGTTGCTTCTTGAACTTGTGCTCAGAATGTGTGGTGACATTGTGATCCACCCTGAGCTTGTTCTACTTTGCTTGCTCTGCTGATTGCACCCCACTTTGGCTATGGGGGTGTGTCAGAATGTTACTTGTCTAGCCTGCAGTGGGGTACTCAACAGTGAGTACAACCCTTTAGGGTTTCCTACTTGTATCCCAACTCTTGCTAGTTCAACCACCTCATTCTCACCATTCTCCTTCGCATACCCAAAACCCTAGTCCTAGGGCACATCCTACTACCTCTTAGTGTGGGCCTAGGCTACTAAGCCTAGGCCCCACTCCTATTGTTTCTAACAAAGAGAACGCGGAAGGGGAGGCGGAAAAGTCGAGAGTTGTCATGGGGCTGCCCCGGCCATCGCGGAAAAGGCAAGTGCCAAAAAAAACTTAAAAGTGGAGCTTTCATAACTTTGCAGTTGCATTCTCCGCGCAAGAAAAAAGTTTGACTCAGCAACAGTGGTAGCGTCAGTAACTACAACCGTCACCTTCCCGTCACTTTCTGGCAACAACGTGTGCAGATTCCCGCATCCGCCACGCAAGTGTACAGGCAACTTCACAACTGGAATACAGTAACCACACACGTTACTCGGATGGTCACCATAACGTTGCACCGCAACCACCCACCTCACATACCTCCCAGTAACCAAAACATGCGGCGACGTACACGTGCCCACGTGTACCTGAATTTCAACCATACCTGCCACGTAAGCGTACACACCCACTACATGCCGAACCTACCACAGCCGCACGATTACGCACCACCACACCAACTATGCACCGTTCACGTGTAAACAGCTCCGCGAGTCGCCAATACTGTTACAATACCTCCAGCCAAACGAGTACCATAGATTAGGGTAGTGCATACCACATCCAGCCCGTCCATTCTCCATGCATTGTATGCCTCGCACCACTACCCCCCTGCCACGTGCAACTCACAACGTCCATTGATACAGAACTACCACGCGCCATCTCACCACCTGCTTGTCCCACGTGTCCTCAACACCCGCCATCGTACTATGTGTTACCCCTTCTCGCAGCTACCTCGCATGCGTAGCCCAACCACTTGCACGCGACCATGTTCTACACCCTACGTAGCATCAACAACTCATAGGCTGCCACGTATCAGCCACTGTTTAGGGAGATCGCACCGGCGATCGCAAATGCGTGCGGCAGCAATTCGCACAGCCCCTACGCGTCGCATCACCACCTTCAGACCTCACAGGGTTGGTGCACGACACCCGCGACCACCAGCGTGGCAGTTGGGCCACGTTGAGGTTTCGCACCGCTCGTAACATGGTCGCCTGCACCACACTTCCAGTGTCGCACAACACGCATCACCAAACACCAGCCATCCACGGAGGACGGGAACGATCCACCCCTCCACCGCCACGCGTCACTTTCACACATTCCACAAACGCCACCATGCCAAGCACACAAACACCGTGCCGACAAATGGGGCCTCGTCAACTGTTCGAACCAACCACGGCAATCCACGTGTTGCTGTCAAAGTAGGCGGATCCCAAACCATTGCCCCTCTCGCGAGCACTCCGTCAAACGCGGCGACATTTGCGGTGCACATGACGCGCGCCCCGGAAAATTTGGTTCAATTGGTCCTAGCCAACCAGCATTGCCCGCCGATGTCTGTCTGGATGGATATTGACCCCGTCATGTCCATTACACACACTCAAAACAAGCATACAAGAACAACTACCAAAACCGTCTACCGCGCAACAAACACCGTAAACTACAACAGAAATCTAGTCACCTACAAACCCCAAACCAGCCGCACGTATCTCAATAGCTCACGCAAAAGCAACATCACCTCCCACCACGGCAAGGTCTATGCCCACCAACAGCCCGTCCTCCCCCTCCCCGCCGCTCTACACACCCCCGACAGACACCGACTGCACATCGTTCCCGGCGGCGTCTCCTCCGCTAGCGCCTGCATTGGGCTTCATGCTCTCAAGCCCACATGCAGAAAGGCGGAGGCCATGGCGTCCCCATATCCACTCCTCTTTCTCCTCGTCGTACTCTGGATTGAAGTGACGGATGGCCTGTGAAACGGAGCCCTTCACAAGCACCTTGAGCCCGTTCACCACGTGGCCGTTCCCCCCCGCCGAGTTAGAGAGACGGCCCATCCTCTGCTCCCAGTACATGATGCTGTCGGACACCTGACAGGAGATTCACACCGCGCACACATTGTAAGCCTACAGCCCAGGCGAGGAGTAACCACCAAATTTAAACATTGTCACTCACCACGTGCTCTAGCCACGCAAGGTGGTACACCTTCAAAGTGAGCGGCAGTGCAGCCTTCTTCGGAATGAAGGCAGCCTTTGCGCACGCCGCAAACGCCGCAGAAGCAAAGGGCATCCCGTCGCGGTCGTTAGCCCAGTTGCTCAACACCAGATCATCTGCACACCGCCGACAGCTCGGACGAGTAAAAAGACTACACCCAAGCACGCAACCGTCACCAATGTGTAGAAGCGCCTGAACACCGCTTACCGCTCTCATCCGCTCCGAGCCCAATGCGCTCGCGAATCTGCTCCAGCGTCCGTGCGTTGTCCCTTGCCCACGGGCTTGCCTCGTCGCGCTCGTCCCGGAAGAATCCAAGCTTCGGGAGCGCAATGTCCCGGACCCGTGCTGCAGCCCTTGTCTTCCACTCGCTCAGCGTCTTGTTAAGGTCCGCCCGTCGGGACTTGTCCGCTGCCAGCGCGAGACACGCGAAGCTATGCGGCAGGCGGTCAAGCACTGCGCAGACGCCATAAGTCTTGTCGTCAGAGCTCGGATAGAAAGTCATGGTTGCGGCCGGCTTCTTCAGGAACAGCTGCACGCGGACCAACTCGCATAGTCGCTGCACACAAGTCAGGAACCACCGCAAACACTGAATGAGAACAGTGCTCCACCAAAGAGCATCCCCCTGCAGACTGCGCCCGCCCATACAGTAATGTTTCCCGTCTGCTAGCACAACCCACCTTCCAAGCCTTGTCTGCTGGCAGCAGATCAAGTGCGCGTTGCAGAACAGGCGACTTCGCAGACCGCATATGTTTGCGCCGCGTGCGAATCTGTGCCACGTCCTCGAAGTCGTCGTCGTCGTCCACCTCATCGTCATCGTCCTCAACCTCAGCCACAGCCTCGCCACGACGCTGGCGCTTTGGGTTCATGCATCCCTGTCCCGGCTCCCTCTGCCGCTCTGCTTTGCGGCGACGAGATCCCCCATCGGACTTCGCCAGTGCCTCCAAAAGCAAGGTTTCCAAGCGGGCAACCTTCTTCGCGCTCTCGTCTTGCGACTTAAGCAGGCTCCTGAATACTCCCGCGGAAACGCGCACCTCCTCTCCATTGGTTGGGACATCAGCGTTCTCGCGGTTCGTGTTGGTTTCGAACATCGCGCGCATCGCGTCGCCCACATCCTCGTCATCCTCCTCTTCGAAAGCGTTGACGTCGCTCTCGATGCGTGCCTGGTCGCCCCCGTCAACGTCCTCGCCTCGATTCCGGAGAGCCAGACGCGGATCAACGTCGCTCTTGGAACGCGAATCTGGCGAGTCACTCTCCGCCGCTTGCTTGCCTACTCTGCCGGGAGAAGCGTCAGATGTCTCCCCCCCCGTAGTCTCTGAAGTGGTGGGAATGTAGACGGACGAGAATGTAAGTTCGAGGGTTTAAAAGCTCCATTGCGGAAGGAAGGGGAATGCCAACGGATTCAAAAGCATACGAGACTGTAAACGCCTCAGTTCTTTGGAACAATTCGAGCAACATGCGCAACAAACCCGTGATTACCATCACCAGCAGATTTTCCGCCACCTCCCGCTCTGGTAAACGTCAAACGCTTAGGCAAAGCAGTTCCCCGAGTCCCCCTTGCCATGCGCCCACGAGGAGTTGCAAGCTGATATGCCGCGCGCAGGTACGCCGGAGGCTGGGACACTCGCCGTGCACGCCCCAAGTTGCCAGTATCTTCGGAAGCAAGGGAAGTCTCCATTGTGCCCAGTTGACAGTGTTTGAGTGCACCGTACGCATTCCTTAGTGCTCGGATTGATATAGCAAAGTATACGGTACCCAGTGAACATTGCTCAACAACGGAAACACCCATTGTGAAAACCGTTCCCTCCAATCAAATTAAAGGCAATCTCTGACAACCACTCGGAAACAACCTCCACGATTTCTGTCATCTTTGTAAGCGAATACGCATCGGCCACCGATCCCCGTCATCTTTTGTCCGAAAACCCGTCCTCTCGCTATCAGTTCCGCTTACTCCGTCTTCGGTACACTTGCTATCATGCAAATTCGTAACACCTCCACATTCAACTCCAGATATCATTTACTAGCAAAATAGTACAGACACGATAGATTTCACATACTTTCCACACACATGCAAACATCAGTCGGGTACGGATGCCTTTTTCTATCCCACGGTACACTCTCATTTCCCACTGATATCCCAAGCACCATCCTTCTGCCTCCCACGACCAGCTTCATCTGTCTTGTCATCCGTGGACTTTGCATCGGCACTGCTGAGCCTCCCAAGCGCCCTGCTGTTGGTTGGTTCGATGGCAACGATCTCAGTGTCCTCACTTCCAGCCTTCTCTCCTTCACCCTCTCCTGCCGTGCCACCACCCTGCGCACCACTCTCCTTTCGCGGTCTCCCCCTTTTAGCAGGCGTTGCATTCTTCTTGGCCCGCGCTGCCTTCCGCATCACACCTTCGTACGCCTCCCTCCATACCCTCCAGCGCCACCACATGCGGGCATCCACCAGGACTTTTAGGACTTCAGGAGTGCACCCCTTCAAAGCTGCCCTATCCGCCGGTGTTAAAGCCACAGAGTTCCTGGTGCCCATGCCTGGCCTCAGCACGTGGGCTGCTGCCGCGTAGCAATACGCTGCCTCCTCTATCGTGGTGTAAGCGCCGACTCTCTTCGTTACCTTCTTTCCGTCCTTGTCCTTGGCGACAACCTTCACCCCAAACTTGCCTGTATCGGCCTCCACATACACCCCGGTGTACTTGGTCGGCTTTGTTCCTGGCTCGGTCTCCCCCTCTCCGTCCTCGTCAGAATCCTCTCCTCCTTCCAAGGGCTCCTGCTTAGGCACAGCTGTGAAGCCGGGGTGTGCGCCCGCACCGCTCTGCGCGATGCCGTAAACAGGATAGGATGGCTGGACTAGTGAAACCGCAGCTCCCTGCTGGCGCGACAACAGCCAGTGTGGAACCGTCCCGGGGATCGGCAGATGTGCCGGGAAGCAGGGGTACGCTCCAACGGCTGACGCGAACTTGCTGTCGAGCGACACTCTCGTGTTGGAGCCCACCAGATCCTCGTCAGGGCTGTCGTTCAGCTGCTTCGTGTATCCTGAAGGCCGTACAGGAGTGGTTGGGCCGTGCTTGCGCGGATCATTACCTCCCGCTCCCTGCACAGCGCAGGCAGGCTTCTGCAGCATGTTTTCGCCGGCAGAGATCAGCTCCTCCCTCGACATCCCAAGCACCTGCCCAATTGCGGCGAATCCTGCAGTCATCGCACCGACCTCGCGCTTCAAGGAGCACACCTCCGCCTCGAGTCGGTCCACACGTCTTTGCTCTGTGTGTTGTCCGTCCTCTGCACCCTCCTTCAAAGTCGTGTTGGTGGTGGTGCCGCTTTCCTGAGAAGGAACATCCACGCCATCTTCCTCTAGCCTCCGGAGCATTTCCCCCATAGCGTGTGCGCATATATCAGCGCGCATGTTGCGGCGGTACTGCAGCGCGCTGACCCCTTTGAACCACAGGCCACTCTTCAAGTTGGCGAAGTCGGAGTAGACCAAAACTTTCAAGTAGTGGCAGATGAAGACTCCGCAGTCAAAACCATTCTCTTGCTTAGGGATGTGGTTCGCCTGCACACAAAGAATCCGCACACCGGGTAGCCGCTTTTCACCTTATAAACCTCAACTGCCTAACACCAAAAACACCAGAACAGCCGCCCTTACCGTGAGGACATGACAGGGAACGTCCTTCAGCAGCAGTTCAAAATTCGACATGTCCACATGTGGGTGCGTCTGCTTGGCGAGAGTTGTCAGCAACCTGCATCACGTCTCATATGAGGAACCCGGTTACAAACACGCCGGTGTTAACAACCACCATATTACGGCTTATGCTACAAACACTTACAGCTTCACGCCACTGAAAACCTTCTGTGTACTCATGGGGGCCTTGGAGCTGTCGAACAACACCATTTCCAGCGGAGGGCTATCCTTCCTTGCCATCTTATCCACCAGACGGTGGGGTGATACGACTATCACCAATGAGTAGTGCTCTCTGCAGGGAGGCAAGCGGCAGTAAACGGCAGTGTTTAGTACGGCCGATGAAGAATGCATGCAACTCACGGGTGTTGCTGAACTACTCAAACAGCTCGATGATTACCCCCTGTAGACAGGGACCGCCAGGTAGTCGTGCTCAAGGAGAGGCAGGCCGTTTCCAGCATTGACGGGAGTATTGTGCACAGTGGTGTTCGCGAAGTTGTTGCAATCGACAGCCGCCCATGTCTTCCCGTTTGACAGTTTCGGCACTCGGATGCTTAGTAGCCTGGAAACACACGACGGACATGTTGGAAAGTCGGCATAAAGGGAGGGCATCTGATCCTCCTGCTGCGATTTATCATGTTAAAAAAAAAAAAAAAAAAACGTGCACGTAGCCAGGCGAAACCGTTACTCACACGTTGTGGAAGTCTATCACCCCGTCAGTCACCCATGTGTTGTCCGCGATGGAGGCGAGATCCTTCTTGTCGACTGTGCTGACCACGTCGCGATGGTTCTTGAGCTCCACGTTGCGATATTCGACTTTGTAATAATTCTTCTCCAAAGCCGCCACCAAATCGTCGGGCTGAGGGAGTTCAGTAGGCGTGCTGGCTGCACCGTCAGCGACTTCCATGGTCTTTCCCTTGTCATCCTCCACCGCCCGTCGTTGCCTTTTTTTGTTAGAGCCGGCGGCCTTTCCCTTACGCGACCTTGTCGCACGCACTTCTCTTATCTCGGACTCGGAGCAGCCGCTCGATTCTTGGCTGCCGGTGTGCGCGTTTTTCAGAGACATGGTTGGCGCGGGATGAAGGGAAGGATGCGATTTCAGAATCAGGTGTACTAGGGCCTGGCCACGATTCCCACGGTCAACTAAAACCGTTAGAGTTCTCCTGCGAACGAATTTGGGAAAGCGCAATAGCCCGTGGCAAGAAGGCAGCAAAAGTGGTCACATCCCCCGATGGATGACAGATCTCCAGTTAGGGTTACTCGAGGTTAGTCGCATCATGCACAGGTCACCGAGATGATGACAGCTGGGCACCGCAGAATGGTCTGGAATAGTTGGATGAGTGCATGTCATTGCTCCGTAGCCAGCACGACATCGAGAGGCTCCTAATAACGGGGGTGCGTGTATGACTTGTTTTATATCAGGCATTTTCAATTCGAAATGGAGTGTAGCGTCGATAAAGTAGTGGTCCAGTTGGTAGGGCCAACTCCCATTTGTTTCGACTTATGATGATATAAAGTGATACGACAATGCACAAACGCGTACATCTGGCTCGTGACGTAAGGTACGAAATTGGCACTTCCTCGCACGAATTGCTAGTAGACCGTTGTGGGCAAGGTGTAGACACGGGGCCACCTGGCCAGTGTAGCAGTGATCAAACAGTGCCGGATGGGAAAGCCCCTGTTTACGGGATGCGTACGTGGGAGCACGTGCACATATACGCGGCATGTAAAGTCTCGTTGAAGATTTGTAATATAATAGCGCTTATAATGGGCTGACAGTTTCTGCTATTGTTTCGTGGCCAAATTTACGTAGGTAAATATTGTCAATAGCAAACGGATAGAGTTGCGCACTATTTGTTTGCTTTATCGACGTAGTCTTATACACATAACGTCTATCTTCACATGGCTATTTTAACAACCAAGTGTATTCTTACGTACATGTAGTGTGTACGAAGCACTGACGCCTCATATGTTGCCGCGCACGGCCGTGGACGATATGAAAACCGACTACCTCAACCATTGCTAGTGGTCGGACTAGGGTTTGTAGCAAGTCTGAGATGACGGGAAACAAGTGCGGAGTGTGCGGTAAGGAATTTCCTAGCGACCGTGACTTGCAGTCTCATCTCTCAGACAGAACGAAATGCGGGGACTCGTTGAAGAGAAATCTCGAGCAGCTTATGTTTGATGCTTACCTGGATGCGCTAAACAGTGTTGGGCAAAAACGCCAGCGCAGCCCTGCTACGTGTGGGGCCAAAACCAACCCTATACCTACGAACTTGCCGCCAGAGGGCTCACCGCCGCAGGCGACGGAGGCAGATCATGAGGCGGACGATGGCGACTCAAAAAGCTCTACTTCTTCGGAGGCCAGCGACGTCTCCGACTTCTTCGACACGCTCACGGAGCTGTACCTGTTTTTCCGTGACGCGGACTTATCACGCCGTGAAGTCAACAGACTGCTTAACATATTCCGTAACCCTCAGTTCAGTTTGAAGGAATTACGCAAGTGGCGCAGCTACGCCGACGTGAAGCGATGGGGGAAAGAGCGTGCGCCGCCAGATATGGTTCCATGGAAAACAGAGCATATCGTCGTGCACGGGCCCAGAGGAATGTCCCAAAAGCTTCTCTTGCACTTCCGCGACACAGAGCTGGTGAGCTTGTCGTCATCTGCGTACCGCCCTTATTCGGCTTAGGTGTTGTGACAGATGGCGTGTAACGTGCCTATCTATATTTGTATTGTCGCGCATGCTTGATATGGCCATGCTCTGATGTGCAGCTTGTGAAGAAGCTAGTCCGCATTTTTTCGCGGAGGAAGGGTTTCGTGTGGAAGCCACAGGAGAAGTACAACGAGAAGGGGAAGCGCGTTTTCGAGGGGCCAGAAACAGGCACGTGGATGCACGAGGCGCAGGTGCGTTGCCTGGCTGAAACAGTGCATGTCCGATGCAGGGGCGTGGTACTGTAATAACCACCTCGGTGTGTGCGTGTGGCAGAAAGAGATCAAGGACGACAAGGCTCTGATTCTCGGGGTCATCGTGTACAGCGACAGCACTCAGGCGTCGCGCAACGGGCGGCGGAATGCGTGGCCTGTTCTGATATCGCTTATTAACATTCCGGAGGAATTGAGGTGGTTTGAGCTGGGCCACACTCTTGCGGCAGTGTTGCCATTCTGTCCGGAATGGGCTAGTCCGACAGAGAAGGCCCGTGTTTTCCAGGAGGCGCTGAAGATCATCCTAGGACCCCTGATGCGGGAAACCGCAAGGTACGTTTGGCGGCATGTGTGTTGGTTCTTCACGCGGTAGACGCGTTGCTTGTGACGTACCTGTGATCCGTTACCTATTCGAAATCCCTTTCTGTATCCAGTGCTCCTGTGAGGTACTTTTATGTGACAGACGCCACCGGCAATGTGGTCAAGGCGGTACCTTGCCTCTATGGGTACCCTGGTGACTATCCAGAGAACAGTAGGGCCTCAGCCACGCTGCAGACGGGCACTCATCGCCCCTGCGCTAACTGCTATGCAGAAGTGGGAGAGCTGAAACGGCTGACTGCTAAAATAGATCCACGCACACCTGAGCGGCAGAAGGACATTGTGCGACAGTTTTTTGCGTTCGCCAAAAAGGAGGACGCCCGGAAGTACATGAGCCAGTGGTCAACCCATCCGATAGAGGTATGTTGCAGTTTGCCATTGTGCCGTGGACACATTCGTTCGACTCGTGGCGACACTGTACATATAGGGTTGTGACGTGCTTCCTTCTGTGCGCAGTGCGTGCTGGCGCGGTGGAACTTTGGGAACACCACCTGGGGGAACGTCTACCTCGCATGTTTGGCTGACATTTTACACGTGCTGGACTCTGGTGTCTTCGTACACATGATGGAAGAATACCTTTCCCCCCTGGGGAAAGTCGAGATCCGCATCCTGGAGAGGTGAGCCGTGTAGATCATCAGTGCGGTGTTTTGGGGTGGTCAGGGCTTTGTCAGTTCCTTGGAACGGGTTTTATGGCTTGGCCGAGATGCGTAACTGGCTCGTTGGTCCCTATTGCGTGGCAGGCGGAAGAAGGACCTCAAGAGCGATACTCCAAGTGTGCTGCTGCGGATTCCTGGGGGATCATCATTCTTCCTTTCTGGTGCCCACTATGCGGCGTTCGAACATCGTGCCATGATGCAAATCATGCCGATCCTCATTGCGGATTCTAGTGCATTGAAGAAGGGCGAGGCGGGAGAGTTGAGGGCGCTGCAGGTTAGAGCATTCCGTTATTACGCCCTGTTCTACAAGGCGTTTTTGGGAGTGGCGGCGCACACCCGTGCCACGCTGAAAGAGGCCAAGCAACGTGCTGTTGCGTAAGTACGGTGGTTGGAGACGTGTGTTGATTGCAATCCTTGTGCACCCTTAACCCTGTGCTTTGCAGTCTGCTGTTAGAACCTCTGAGCTACACAACTGTTTGCTATGTAGGTTGATGGAGCTGCTGCCCAAAGCTTTCCCGGACCAGGCATCAAAGTGGGAAATTCCCAAGGTCCACATGATCAAGCATCTTCTCGAGAACGTGGAAGCAAGGGGGATGCCACACCACTACAGCACGGAGATGTGGGAGCGCACTCACAAGGGGACAGTGAAGGGTCCCGTGAGGGGGAGCAACTGGGCTGACATTCCGAGGAGAATTGTGGATGAGGAGATGCAGCGGGAGATTTACAGAGAAGTGGCGGCCGATGCGGGAGGAGGTCGGCAGTACGTGTCAGCGCTGCGTGTGGTGAGTGTTAGGGTGCAAGCAAGACTAGGGGTGGTGCGCTGGGCGACTCACGCCCTGTACTAGGTGCGTGTTTGCTATGCACTCTCATTCAGTGCATGCTGTGTCGCCGGTGGTTGTGTGCGGCAGGCCGTGGAAGAGATGGAGCCAGTGCTAACGAAGAAGTTCAGGGTCATGCGCCTCGGAGGCACCGCGGACAAGGTGTTTGCCGAGTACGCAGCGGTATTTGGGGATCAGATGGCGGGCCTACCAGGTCAGCTGCGGGAGATGCAGTTGAACCCTGGCAGTGTGCAGGTAATTGTTTTTTGTGGTGCGCGGATTGTCGGTTTTTGGTGCGCGGAACGAGTGACATTGCCTGACCTCTTTGATTTGTGCGTGGTGCTTGCCTTATTGCAGACACACACAGCAGTGGCCATACCACGTACGCAGGGTGGGGTGCTTGTGGCGAAGGGGACGTTCGTCAAGGCGTCCCCGCGAGAGAACCTGTTCTCAGATGTGGCACTCCTGGCTCTTGAAGGCGGGGATTGGTTTGCTAGATGCCTATGTATTTTCAAGGCGTTGAACGCGGAGGGCAAGTGGACTGGGTGTGCCTACGTGAGGTACTACGAAGCAGCAGGCCAGTGTCCCATCACAACGTGCACCCAGTTGCATCCAGCTCGAGAGAGTGTCCGGTTCGCAGTGGTGTTGCTGAAGAGCCTGCAGAGGGTTGTCCACGTATGCCCATCGTACAGCAACCCTCGTCTGCTGCTGGTTAACAAGTTTCTACTCTGCGAGTAATTGGAGTAGGGCTGTGTGTTTGGAACTGAGGGAAGGTGGTTTTGTTACACTCATAGAAGGGGTGGAATTGTGGGATTGTGGCATTTAGGGGTGCATGGGAACCTGGGTAAGGGAAGGAGAGTGCGCAACAGAATAGTACGCAGGTCTCATGCTTTGATTTGGTGGGCTTGTGTGGTGGGAATGTGGGATTTTGAAAATGCACCGTCATACTGGAATTTTGGCGGCCGGTGTGTGGATTGAGGCAATGCTTGTAACGGATTTGGTTATTACGGTTGTTGGTTCAGGGCACTGGTGTGCGGATTTGGGTTTTGTGGCTGTAATGCAGGGACACTCTTGTTACGGAATCCAATTGGATATGTGGCTGGGGCTAATGGTTCGATGTTCGGATTTCTAGTGCGTGTGACTGGCAGGTGCGCATTTGTGTGACGTGTACGACATCAGAGGTTGACAGGTTGGGCCAATGGGAACTGCGCAATTGTGTACCTGGCATTTAGTGGACAGTGTTCAGTTGGAGAGCGATTCAGTGGTTGCTGCACATGTGGAGCGCCTAAAAGGCAGCACATGTGGTGGTGGAGAGTACGGTTTGGGCTTTTGGTGGATTATTTTGGGGACGTCCACCATTTCATCTCCAGCGTCCCACACGTTGTCCGGGGTGTGCTGGTGGCCATTATGAGCTCGGTGAAGCCCCCGTTGAAGGACATCGTACAAAAGATGAAAGTGCTCCCCGACGATGTGTTTCTGTTTGTGGAGATACCGTTTATGCCCAGCCGGTTGCCGAAGACCAAGATACCGGGGAGGAACGGAACCCCGTGCGACCGGATCATAAGTGTCGGCTTCTTGTACAATGCGACGGGGACCTGCACCACGGTGCCCCTTGTGGTGTTGCGCCATGACGAGCGCCCCGAACCTAGGCGCAGCGGGGATCCTGCACCGGCGGTGATTGTGCGCTACACGAAGAGTGGGCGCCTCACACCCGAGGTATGTGGGCAGATTTCGAGTGGACTCCCATCAGCACATGTGTATAATGTTGTGGCTGCATGTCGGTCGTGTTTCTGTGTGATACCCTAATTCCGCGCTGGCGCTGTCGTGGCTTGGCGGTGCGCAGGTGTTTACCGAGTTTTTTCAGACGGTTGATGGGGTGCAGCTTAGCCGTGGAAGGAAGACGGTTGTGTTCACCTACAACACGGCGCACCGCATTACCGCGAATGACGCGGAGACCACGGTGGAGCATGGGCTGACTATGGTGCATTTCACGCACACACGCTTTGTGGACCTGACAGACGTTGTGCACTGGTCCAGTATGCCGTTTTTGCACGGCGTGGTGGACGCTTTCAAGGCTGAGTATCGTGTGATACTGATGAGACGCGCGGTGCGGTCCAATCTGTTCCACGAGGATTTCGAAGCGCCGTTTTCCCTAGTGAATTACGGTGTTATGCTGCTGTGGGTGGGCTTGGCATGGAAGGCGCTGACGGCGGCAACGATGCAAAGGAGCTGGTGGAGGGCGGGATGCGTCCCGGAGTCATGGTGGGAGCTGATGTGGCACCTGCACGGCATGTACTCGGCCGGCATGTACGATCCCCTGGTCTCTACCACGGCGGACCTCCTGGTGCTGCTACGTGAGTTCCGTGTGCGGCCGGCTATTTATATGCCGGTGTCCGATTACGTGACATGCGATGAGTGGTTAATGGAGAAGGCTGGTGTGAAGTTGGTGACGCCCACGACGCCGACGTCTTCAGGGGACGAGGGCGAGATGTGCCTGCCGGATGGGCCTCTGATGCGTGACGAACGAAGCCGACGACGTGCCATCCGCAATGTGACGAACGCGTACGTGTGTCACGCGGAGGCGCTGGGGATTGCTCCTGCGGAGGTGGCGACTGTCGTTGGCGCCTCTGATGGAGAGGTGGTTAGCCGCCTAAGCCGCACACCGAAGAAGCGAGCGCGCAGTTCGGGGTCGTCGGACAGTGGGTCCGTGTAGTGCGCTTGGTTTTGATGCTGTAGTGGGTGGGGGGGGTGTTTGTTGGAGGGCATGCCTCGAAGGGTGGGCTCATCTTTGTAGTTGTGGTTGCTGGTTGACAGTAGGGTTTGGTTTTGTGTGATGTTGTACTTTGTATTGCTGAGTGCTGGAGTTGCAAGCGAATGACACGGTTTACACATTATGAAGTAGACGGTGTGCAGAGCAGTGTAGTTTGGTTTGTTCAGTATATACAGTTGCTCGGAGTAGGTGTGCATTTATCGTTTCTGTGGTCCCTGTAGCGGGGGAGGGGCGACACGACAATACCGAGTATGTGTGGCGTTTTTGGCTCGAGCCGCATGTGTTCGAGGCGCATTCGTGGAGGCGGCGCGGATAATGGCGCAGGTGACCCCAAAGTGACATTTTGGTGGCGGTAATGTTGTGGTCCAGTGTGCGGTTATTGATCGCGCCAATGTTGCGTTTTACGGTCCTTGTTTTTCGGACACTTGTCGCAACAATCACGCAAGCCCCACGCAGAAAAACCTTCGGACACCCCAAAACGCAATTTCCCTTTTCCGCGATGGCAGTATTTTTGAGGCGCCTCAAAAATCACCTCAATGCGCGCTGAAGGGGAGGCGGGGAAGTCAAGAGCAGTTGCGGGGCTGCGGCAAGTGGCGCCATGATGATCCGCAGTAGCGGATGCGAAGGTGGCATTCGTAGTAGCAGCGGATGCGACATGATCTGCCAAATGCGAGGAGGTGGTGACGCCGCAGTAAGCGCCGTCACAGCCGGCAGCGCGGCTGAGGTGGACCTCGAAGGACCTCCGCGAGTTCAGCGGCGGTGGCGCGCCGCCGCGGAGGCAATGGCGACTCCCGCCGCCGCCGGGACTGGGGTTTGCGCCGCGAGCTCGCCGCGGCGCGGCGCTGGACAACGACGTGCGATTCGGCATGGACGACATGAAGCTCCACTGGCAGTTGTGAACCGGAGTGCGATATAGGCGTACGATACGATCGCTACTAGTAGTAGTACCGTAAATTAACTAGCGGTGAGTAGTTGAAATCGGCGAATGGCCAGTGCGATTGCTGAGTCTTCGAGGGACCTGGTCTTTCTGTCGGAAGCCTTGAAACGGAGCTGCGGGTGAACTCGTAACGACCGTGTGTGCAGCGCGATATGAAATTCGCGTTCGCGGCGAGCGTTTTTATACTAATCGGCCCCGGTGGGAATGCGAATGGTGGGAGGGATGCGGGGGCGGGTGGATCAAGAAGAGAGCGGAAGGAGATGCGCGGATGGTTGCCATGGGGGGAGGAATCTCATTCGGCAGGAGCAGGCGAGCGAGAGTGCCCCATACGTTTCGCTACAGAGTCTTGCGACCCTCAACGGTAAGTTACCACCAATGTGCGCTCGACTGTGACCGTGACGGATGAGTCAGCACCGGTAACCAGCCCCGGCGGTATCCGAATGGGGCTGAATGGGGGTTCTGTCGTTCTGATGAGTGCGTGGTGAGGTGAGGTGAGGAGGGGCATGAGAGGGTGGGGAAGGGGAGGAGAAGGGGGAGGCATAATGCGCGACTCGCGTCGCACGGCGAGCCATCGGCGGGAGCAGGCGAGCGAGAGTGACCCATGCGTTTGGCTGGCACACCCTCCGACACGTCACCCGACTTTGACGAGTCATCGTGAAACAACTCGCGTGATCTAATCACACGTCAGCTTCTACGACGAATCGAACGGACTCGGAGAGTCTCGGGTTTACTGCAGCGCCGTGCGTCGGCTGTGCTCTACAGCGGGTACGCAAGGTGGATGCGGCAAAGAGTAGCGCGCGAAGAGCGAGCGTTTGCGAAGCGTTTCCGAAGCGTTTGCGAAGGACCGGCAATACCGCCAGCCCAAGCTTGGGCGGACAGCGTATGATGCTCGGAGCGTTGTACACACATTCTGCTTTCGGCGAAAGTGCTTCTATTGGGTATGCGCGTGGGAGAGGTGTCTGTGCTGACTACGCTTCGTGAGAGCCAACGCGGATGAGCAAAGGACTCTTTCGGCCTGCTCGGATCGGTCGGAGGACTCCTCGTAGGGGAGCAGCTCTGCATTTCCGAGGTTCTCCTATCCACGCGCTCGGAGCGGCATCTGCGGAGTAAGCCACGGGCAAACACGTGCCTAGCTGTTCCGCGTGCACTGTGCATGATGGCGCTTCTTCCGTCCAGTTGTGTCAGTCCGTAACTGTTTGTTGGACGGCTCTGGACTGAAGATTCTAGATGTGTGTGTGTACAGTAATGACAAAGTATCTTCTCTTGAGCCGAGCACCCTTGCCGGGCAGCACGACGAGGCATGCAGCTCGTCTGCTCTGCAGCAATGCTGCTGCTTGCTTGCTGGGAAAGAGAGCGAATGAGTGATGCTGACCCATTGCACCAGGGCGGTGTTCTGGTGACTCCCGCTAGAGGGGGAGGTGGAGGGGCGAATGTAAATGACGATGATTCCGCGGATGTTTCCAAGCCGGTTTTGACAAACTCCCGCTACAGCCGTAGACGGGAAATTTCAGGCGCCAGGGGGGGAACGATCCGACGGTAAATGACGAACATGTGGGGACATTTTCCTGGTCTAGAAACGGGGGTAGTTCATTTCGCGCTAACAAGCAAGACAGGGTACAAACAAAACCAGGGTTACTTCTTGTCGGAAAACAGAAGTCACCTTCAACAATCCAACCTCTAGGGTACAAACTGACTAGGGTTTGCTCTAAGAAGGGGACGTGGTTTTTTTTTTCCGAGTCCTGTGCGTGTGGGAGGGAGAATCCTTGAAGCAGTCGTTAGTTTCACGGGTGGAATGTCGGTTTCCCCTCCCCAGCACCTCCCTCACATGCCTGTCCCACATCCCCGTGAGGAGTGGTTGCCGGAATGGGGGGCGAGGGAGGCAAAATTTGCCCGATGAGGAAGGTGGGGAGGGTAAATGGGAACCTTCCAAAGGGTGCACATCCCTGAGGGTAAATGAGCGTTTTATTGCCATTTACCTTCGGTTTGGTTCGGAGGGCAAATAGGAGGCTCGGCACGGTTTCCCGGGCTGACCGTCGTGTCGAACCAGAAAACGCAGAGGGGAGAAGATTCCTATTTCCCCTCGCTCCCCCCTCGCCAGTGCCTAGAGAACACCACCCAGATGCAAAGAGCAAGAGGAGAATGCTTGTTATCGAGAGAATTGGGAAGGTAGAAAGGGAAGGGCAGGGAAGGGAAGAGAAGGGAGAAGGGAAGGGTGAGGGGATTGGGTTGTGTTGGGTGCTGCTGTGGGAGTGAATGACGGAGCCAGGTGCGATGCGATGCGGATTTGCGAAATCTCGGATTTTCACCATTACACATACTTCGAAGTTTCGAAGAAAATCTACGAGAGGAAATGAGGGGATGGTGTTCGTTCAAAACATGCCAGATCAGGGAGTTAATGCTGACGTGCATGGAACCAGTTGGTCAGAAACGAGTAAATTTAAAGCTTTATTTGAAAGAGGGAGGTTCAAAACTTTTGAAATTTGAAATATTGGTAACTCGATTACCTGCAAGTTCACTCGCTGAACAAGGGAGGGAGATCTCCCCGACACCCAGCACTTGCTGGTGATTCAAAACTTTTGGATCGACAAAAGTATACGAAATCGAGCCTTTGTGAGATCTACGCCACCACGCTCTTCAGCCGGCATGCTACGTAGCTAAGCACATCGACTCAACAGCCAGCGCAAATTCTGCAAATTTTCGTCACAAACCTAAATGCGTGGGGCATTTTCTTGTAATTATAGACTTCAACCAACGTCAGTGGTTCCCTTTCACGCGGCGATCCCGCGGTACCTCCTCTCACGGCCTCTCCTCGTCGTCCGTCGTGTCGTCTCAAACAGCCGAACACGCACTATCACAGTCGCGGCGCTATCGCGACTGCCTCGCTACCACGTTTCCGCACTAGCCCCAGCAGCCGCACTTGAGTGCGCGAACGACAGCAGAAACGGGAGCTTCCAACCCCGTGCAACCGCCTCGTCTTCCTTCTCGCCAGCTCAATTCGCATTCCCGCCTCCCCGTTTCTCCTTTCCAATCCCCAGGACCCCTTCCGGTCACCCCGTTTCCCCTTCCCGCTTCCCCAATTCCCCTTCCCGCTCTCCGTTTCCCCTTCCCGCTCTCCGTTTCCCCTTCCCGCCTCTCCGTTTCCCCTTCCCGCTCCCCGTTTCCCCTTCCCACCACCCCGTTTCCCCATCCCGCTCCCCGTTACCCCTCCCCGCCTCCTCGATTCCCCTTCCCGCCTCCCCGTTTCCCCATCGCGCTCTCCGTTTCCCCTTCCCGCCTCTCCGTTTCCCCTTCCCGCTCCCCGTTTCCCCTTCCCACCACCCCGTTTCCCCATCCCGCTCCCCGTTACCCCTCCCCGCCTCCTCAATTCCCCTTCCCGCCTCCCCGTTTCCCCATCGCGCTCCCCGTTACCCCTTCCCGCCTCCTCAATTCCCGTTCCCGCCTCCCCGTTTCCCCTTCCCGCTCCCGATTTCCCCTTCCCGCCTCCCCGTTTCCCCGTCCCGTTCCCGTTTCCCCTTCCCGCCTTCCCGGTTCCCCGTCCCGCTCCTCGTTTCCCCTTCCCGCCTCCCCGTCGACCCTTCTCGCTCCCCGTTTCCCCTCCCCGCTCCCCGTTTCCGCTTCCCACCTCCCCGTTACCCCTTCCCGCCTCCTCATTTCCCCTTCCCGCCTCCCCGTTTCCCATTCCCGCCACCCCGTTTCCCCTTCCCGTCTTCCCATTACCCCTTCCCGCCTCCCCGATTTTGCTTCCTGCTCCCCATTTCCCCTTCCCTCCTCCCCGTTTCCCCTTCCCGCTCCCCGTTTCCCCTTCCCACCACCCCGTTTCCCCATCCCGATCCCCGTTACCCCTCCCCGCCTCCTCATTTCCCCTTCCGCCTCCCCGTTTCCCGTTCCCGCCTCCCCAATTCCCCTTTCTGCCACCCCGTTTCCCCTTCCCCGTCTCCCCGGTACCCCTTCCCGCCTCCCCGTTTCCCCTCCCCGTCTCCCCATTACCCCTCCCCCCTTCCTCCCTCTCATTTCCCCCTCTTCTCCTCCTTTTTCTCCCCGCTTCTCCCTCTCATTCGCCCCCTTGCTCCCTCGCATGTCCCCCCTTTCCCCCTCTCGTTTCCCTCCCATTCACCTGCCCATTTGCCCCCCTTCTCCCTCTCATCTCCCCCCTTTCTCCTTCTGTTTCGCCCTTCTCACACTCTTCCCCCTCCCCACCTTGCTCACTATATTCCCCGCTACTCACCCTCTTTCCCCCTGCTCACTATCTTCCCACCAGCTCGCTCCCTTCCCCCCCACCACTTTGTTTAGGGTTGCTCATTCTGTTTCACCAGTGCTCCCTCCCCCCCTTCTCTTCTCACTCTCGTCCCCCTTGCTCACTCTCTTCACTTCTGCTCACTCTGTTTCCCACTGCTTCCTCTCTTCCCCCCCTCTCACCATATCCCCCAATGCAGGGTACATGTGCCCAGCAGCAGATGTTGTGGCTTTACCACGGCCTGGTATATTGATCGCAGTGTAGCGGACAAAACCGGGAAGCAACATAACATTCCCCCCAGATTTGTTATTATATAAAAATGAGTTATTCCCCTTGTACCGTACAAATATCACTAGTATAATGGTTGTTGGACCCCTAAGTAGTGGTCATGTGTAGAACTGCTTTGAAGCACATAATGCTGTATCATAAAAAACTATCCAATACATGGCACGTCTATATGTCGTTTGGTATCAAACAGCCAACACATCACAACCACATCCAGAGAAGACCTGCGCGAACACAAACCAGGAAGTCAGATGTGACGTGGGTGAAGTAGCAGGGAAGCAAGCATCCGAAAGAATGACAGCTGAGAAATGATGAAGGGAGGAATGTAAAAATGAAGAAAGGAGGATCGGAGGAAGGATGGAAGCGAAGAATGCAATGGGGGAGGGAGGTAGTGATGATGGGGAGAAGGGAGGTAGGGAGGACATGGGGGAGAGAAGCAGAAGGGAGAGGAGGAAGAGAGGCCGGGGAGGAAAGTGGGGATGATAAAGGGTGGCAGGAAGGAATAAGGAAGGAGGAGGGGAGGACATGGAGGGAAGGGGCGCTGGGATGGAGGAAGGAAGGGACAGGAAGAGGACAGGAGGACGAGGGGATGTGAAGAAGAGGGGGCAGGGAGAGCAGGTGATGAGAAGAGGAGGGGATGGGGAGTGGAGGGATAGGAAGAAGTGTGGTCGCTTCCCACTGCGGGGTCGCTTATTCACCCAGCGACGTGGTCCACCGGACGGCGCAGTGTTGCCCTCACCTCCCACCGTGGTGCTGTCACCATTAGTACCTTAGGAAACAACAGATTTGGGATGGGGGTTTTGGTATTGTGTAATTCAAGGCAGAGGCCCTTGTATTGCATCAAACTAGAGCTGTGGATGTAAGCAAAGCGAAACACAAATACTGCAAGGACCAGCTATGTTCAGGCCTCACCTGGCGGTCCCAAAGTTGAGCTGGTTCGTGTCGCGGCACCCGTCATGCCACGAGTTGCATCGGCATGGTTTGACGCAGCTGCCTGCATGAGGAAGAACGACACCACAGAGCTTGGCCGCACTCCATGCTCTGGATGTGGATCGTATCCCCACAACTCTCTCACGTCGGAGTATTGTAAATCCACCCCTCCTGGATCCGCCGTACTCTCTGTAATACCATCATCCAAAATATCAATCGCAACAAACCCTTTCAACGCTTCATTCGTGACCCGTTTATCCCCGCCTTCCATGTGCTGAGATTGTGCAACAGGCACATCCACAACCTCCCGTGACAAACCCTCCACCGTGCAACATCCATCAGGACCAACCGACATGGCATCAGACGAGGTGCAGGTCGAACCTCTACTGCGCCCACTCCGCACATACGCTACACGACGCATCTCTGGGTACAAATACGGCGAGCTATCGCCGGAGAGATCCACAAAAGTCCAGCCCCGAACACGACAAACAGCACCAATCAGTTCCTTTTTTGGCGCTCTATGTAGACCCTTCAAGCCATGACCTGGACGTTCTCGCAACCAGGCCCTGAGATCATCGAGCTTTACATCCCACAGATCCTCAGCAGTGCTCGAGTCTTTGGTGGATAGTGCGGCCTTTCGTGCATTCACAAAGTGCTTCACAAACTTCCGTGATAACGAACGACCTTTGTGCCACACGTCCATCTGGTGCTCGAGGTCTGCCTTAATGATTACGGCTTTGAAACTCGCCCCGTCGTCACTGATGATACCTTACACCGGAAACCCCCAATTATTCAGGTCTTCTAGTCCCTTAGAAAATGCCCGACCCTCTAGCTCAGTGGACGATACCTTTAGCAGGGATCTCGACACCGTCATACAGTGAAGTATCTTACGTGACCTGGGATCCATAAATGCAACACTACACCATTCCGCCTCTCGTGGTTGGCCCCACCTCCCGTCAACACACAACCAAAAACCACGCTCACGCCGAGCTAACATAGCGGCACGCACCACCTCCATGCTTTTGTTGGCATGTTCTATGATCTTCTCCCATAGCCCACCTACCCCACTCATGTACCTGTAGAAGGTTCTCTTACATGGGATGTGTATACCGAGATTCCTACCAACCTCCGATAGCGCAGTATACCCAAACCCCGCTAGAGCAAAAGACGCAAGGAAGCGCTGTAACAACGGGAGACGTTTCCTTCCTGGCTTGTCGGTCGTGCAACCCAATGGCTGACGATCCACCGACCACAGCGATGTCGATTTTCCACACTTATCACAGGTCCAAACCATTCCAAATGCCGCCCACAACAGTTTCCAGGAGCGCAACCGCATCGAGCCCCCACATCCACCGCTCATGGTGCAATACAGCGTCACCACCATGAAGAACCGAATGATGTGCACTGGGCTCAGCAAACACACGACATCCCGCAGTCCGTCAAGTGTTGGGAGTGCCGGCCATCGCCCGGGCGAGGTCTCGATCGGTATCGCATGATCGTGCGAGTTCCTAATGTGTGGGAGAAATGGGGTGTATAACCTGTTATTGAGTCGTGGAGTGGGATTTGAAGCGGGAGTGAAGACTGCCTGGGCTTTAGGGTACTACTTGCCCTAGCAAAACCCATCATGGGTTAGATTGTTGTAGATGATCTACCTCTTACGCTTCATTTCACGTGCATATGCTTATTCCAGTATGTCACCTCTCATTTCACTTACACGTCGTGTGTGTGTCCGTCCTCTTTGCCAGATGTGGCAGTGGGCGGCCCACTCCCTCCTCCCAGCTCAAGATCGACCTCCACTTGGACATCTCCAACTTGTACCGGAACTTCATCATCAATTTCAATCACCACGTGATGCTGCTCCTCTTCCTCATCGCTAACATCCCGAACCGTAGGCGTGGCAGCAGCGCTGTTGGCCTCTCCTGCTGTACATAATAGAGATCAGATAAAAAAGCCACACACAACATCCACACTATGTGAGCTGCCAAAGTTTGATGGAGTGTGCCTCGCCGTACCAAAGGGTTGATTACGTGCGATGACCATGCCTCATCACTGGGGCGGGGGGTGGACGGGGCAGAGAAGGAATGGAAAGGGAAAAGGGGAAATCCCAACGCCTGAGTGCGGAAGTGATGTAGTGGACAGGGAAGGCTAGACATAATGGACCTGCCCATGTTGCATGGTGAAATTTTGCGAGATGTGCAGTGTAGCTGAAGTAGATTGGGAGCGCATACCTTTTTGCTTTAGCTCAGCATATGCTGCACCCCGACGGGCCCCACCCTGACGGAAAACGGTGGTGTCGCGTCGTAGAGTCTCCTCATCGCTCCCATGATCCAGGGGGAACGCATATACCAATCCCCTGATAGCAGCTGGCTGTCCTCCCACGAGGGCATCAGGTCGGCCGGCCATGCGATCCTTCCCCCCCTGAAACTTTCCAGCGTACTTTTCCAGGCAGCCTTGCACTGCCTTCTCAGCCGTATCGCCGTCCGCACCTGTACGTTGGGTGAATGAATGGTAAAGGGCACCATCTTGAGCATGGTGGAGCTCTGGATCACGTTTTCTGCAGTGGTAATTGCTAATAGACGAAACCAATGTTGGGAATTTGGCAGCCCATGAGTAGATGGTCACTTACCGGCCTTCTTTGCTGCGGTCATAAGCGCCTCGGTTGCCCCTGGGCCAGCGTGTAACAGAAGTACACAAGGTCTGAAAGCGTCGCCGTACGTCCCTCTCCCATCAAAGTGCTCAAGCCACAACGCAAGTAACAAATAGGGATCTGCATGTGCTTTGATATTGCTAGATTCCCCTGTTCTTTTGCTTTCACCAATTCCTTCACCCTCTTTGTCCATGACTCCACAGATATTTTCTTTGGATGCCCCATGAAGTGCCCTTCCCGTTACGAGCCCTGCGTAGTTTGGACAGCGGAGGGAATGGAGGGGGAAAGCAGGGCCTCAAATCCGCGCGGCGGAGATGGAATGGATGATATGAAATAGAAGGTGGACAGAGATCTTGTGATGGCGGGCTTGTAATTATGCGCGGTCACATCGACCATGTCAAGGCGGGCTCATGAAATAAGGCACAGGAGGGGCGGGCAGATGGGAGTGTTGGGGCATGCAGGGCTCCAAAAATAACCTATAGATCATGTGGCGTGGGAGGTGAGTCTACTTTGAGCTATGGAGGGGTGAGGAAGAAGTGTGGTGGATAAGATGGACCCATGGCAACGATGGGTGTGGGGACCAATAGAACGTCGTGCGACGTTTTCTACTATCGGAAAATGTGTCGATCACCCAGTAATGGAGGGATGATGTGAAGCCGGAATGGGAAGGGAGGGAAGGCAATAACAGGGAAGGAAAGGGCAGTAGGGAAACGGCATGGCAGTCGGGGAAGGGCAGTAACGGGGGGATGGATTGGCAGAGAGGGGGATGTATGCAGCTCACTTGTGGTAGACCACGGCCTAGCCGTCTTGGGGTGCTATACACTCCCTCTCGTTGGGATAACAAGGGATGCCCAACGGGAAACGGGAAGCGTAGGGGCCGGAGACAAGGCTGTGGAAGAAAGCAAAGGGGTGGGGGAAAATGAAGGGGAGGAGTGGGGGAAGTGATAAGCCGCAGGAGGGGAAGTGAAGGGGAGCAGTGAGAGAAGTGATAAGCAACAGGAGGGGAAATGAAGGGGAGGAGTGGGGGAGGTGATAAGCAGCAGGAGGGGAAATGAAGGGGAGGTGTGGGAGGAGTGATAAGCAGCAGGAGGGGAAGTGAGGGGGAGCAGTGGGGGGAGGGATAAGCAGCAGGAGGGGAAATGAAGGGGAGCAGTGGGAGACGTGATAAGCAGCAGGGGAGGAAATGAATGGGAGGAGTGGGGGAAGTGATAAGCAGCAAGTGGGGAAGTGAAGGGGAGCAGTGGGGGAAGTGATATGCAGGTGGAGGGGAAATGAAGGGGATGAGTGGGGGAAGTGATAAGCAGCAGGAGGGGAAATGAAGGGGAGGAGTGGGGAAGTGATAAGCCGCAGGAGGGGAATTGAGGGGGAGCAGTGGGGGAAGGGATAAGCAGCAGGAGGGGAAACGAAGGGGAGCAGTAGGGGAAGTGATAAGCAGCAGAGCAGGAGGGGAAATAAAGGGGAGGATTGGGGGAAGTGATAAGAAGCAGGAGGGGAAATGAAGGGGAGCAGTAGGGGAAATAAAGGGGAGGATTGGGGGAAGGGATAAGCAGCAGGAGGGGAAATGAAGGGGAGCAGTAGGGGAAGTGATAAGCAGCAGAGCAGGAGGGGAAATAAAGGGGAGGATTGGGGGAAGGGATAAGCAGCAGGAGGGGAAATGAAGGGGAGCAGTAGGGGAAGTGATAAGCAGCAGAGCAGGAGGGGAAATAAAGGGGAGGATTGGGGGAAGTGATAAGAAGCAGGAGGGGAAATGAAGGGGAGCAGTGGGGGAGGTGATAAGCAGCAAGAGGGAAAATGAAGGGGAGGAGTGGGGGGAGCGAAATGCAACAGGAGGGAAAATGAAGGGGAGGAGTGGGGGAGGTGATAAGCAGCAGAGCAGGAGGGGAAATGAAGGGGAGGAGTGGGGGAAGTAATAAGCAGCAGGAGGGGAATTGAGGGGGAGCAGTGGGGGAGGTGATAAGCAGCAGGAGGGGAAATGAAGGGGAGGAGTGGGGGGAGCGATAAGCAACAGGAGGGAAAATGAAGGGGTGGAGTGGGGGAGGTGATAAGCAGCAGGAGGGGAAATGAAGGGGAGGTGTGGGGGGAGTGATAAGCAGCAGGAGGGGAAATGAAGGGGAGCAGTGGGAGAAGTGATAAGCAGCAGGGGGGGAATAGAAGGGGAGCAGTGGGGGAGGTGATAAGCAGCAGGAGGGGAGGGGGAGCAGTTGTAATAAGGGATAAGCAGCAAGAGGGGTCATGAAGGGGAGCAGTGGGAGTAGTGATAAGCAGCAGGGGGGGGAAATGAGGGCTTGAAGGGGTAATATGAAGGGGATGCGCTAAGCGGGAAGGCGCGCAGCGGGTGCGGTGCTAAGCGGGAGAGGGTGTCGGCGACACGCGGGAACGGCGCGCAGGTGGCGAGGCGCTACGCGGGACAGGCGCGCAGCGGGTGCGGAGCTGAGCGGGGGAGGCGCGCAGCGGGTCACGCGCTGAGCGGGGGAGGCACGCAGCGGGTCAGGCGCTAAGCGGGGGAGGCGCGCAGCGGGTCAGGCGCTAAGCGGGGGAGGCGCGCAGTGAGTGATACTCTGCGCGGCATGGCGCGCAGAGGGCGAGGCGCTAAGCCTCGCGAGGCTCCATACCGGGAAACCAGAGCAGTGGGTGAGGCGCTGAGTGGGAAATGCCTACCGAGCGGGTGTAGAGAGTGGCGGCGTGGCGAACGGCGAATGGAACTGTGCGATTCGCTCGTCGACCCCTAATTATCAATCCCTGGGTGGAGATGCATCCCGTCGAGGCGCCCTTGACAGGGCTTAGACGGGCCAGACGAAATTGCTGAACACGACGCGCTCGATGAATGCAGGGCCTTTCCGTCTTCGAGTCGGATTGATGCACGGCGCTACGGTGGAAGTAGCTGGCGGGCAAGTTAGATGGTCCTTTTCCGACCGTACAAGCCTATAATGTACCTAAACTCTTCTCACCCGTTCCGTAACTGGGCGGTTTTGATGCTCCGCATATTATGTTGCTGCGCCCCGGTTCCTCTATCTATGCGTAGCCTACGTTATTAGACGCTTAGCATGCTTCGGAATAGACGCGTGAGTGCAAGGTTGGGTGACGGGAGTTTTCCGTGTTAGGAACTCCTCAGGGGTGCAATTTTTCGCCAAGCCTCTCGCCAACCTCCGATGTTTCGCTCTGGCGAATTGTACCCTGGCTACTGTACAACCCTAAACAGTAGAAGCAAATGTATACAAAAGCTTTAAGTCTTTCCGAAAAGCGTGGATTGCGTGGGCAATGCTGTACTACTGTACACGGCCTGTCTTCTCGGAGCAGTCAGCCTATCGGAAAATCAGCCAGTGTGTCGTGGAAGCAGACGTGGCATTCTTTCCAGTGCGAGAATTTCCAGTCATCTCCCGGAAGATCCATGGGAGTGCGTGTTGTCGTCTTGTAGACGTGCGATATTTCGATATGTGCGAACATACAACACAAGAGAAGGAAGTGTAACAGAATGTTATCAACAAAGCTACCAGAAATATTCACAGCTTTGAGTAAATCCAAAACTAGGGGTCTACTATTCACACGCCCTACACTCCCATCACATGGTTTACTTACATATTCTAAAATAAACTATATTTGCAGCGTATGAGATGACATCAATTTGGGCTGGAAACCATAAGGCATAGAAACATATTACATCTACACTCCTACATAGATCGTGAAACAATTAATCACTTGCCAACCCAAATGAACCACAAATAACTGATTACCCTTGCCTACCACCAGCAAGAAAGGGAGAAGGATAACACGGAAGAGCTGAAAACAGTTACCGCAGTTATACCAAAATATATTGCAGTACAAACAATTAAGTACTGTACCGTACATGTGGCCTTCTGTATTTTATTGTTATTGAGCCGGTTCCGACCATGCCCTTAATGTCTTCTCCGAGGCCGCAATCCATTCGTGCTCTGCAAAACAACCATGCATTGCATTGCAACTGTCAGTCCCACTACAAAATCAGACAAAAACCATTTTAAACCCACATAAACCACGTAAAACGCCTTCCTCTCCCCCTCCTCATCCCTCATGCGTTCTGAACTACATAGCTCATTGAATCAATTCAAAGCAGAAACGTGAACTGAAGTTCCAACTCACCAAGAATCTCGTCCACAGTGATTCGAGCCCTCGGGTCGGCAGAGAGCATGCGAATGATGAGATGCTTGGCTGGTGACGACAGCTCCTGCCACCTCCGGCTGTGGCTGAACCCCCTCTGCTTGGCCTCCAATACCCTCTGCCACACACCCTCTTCACCTGCTGCTCCCTCCTCCCCACTGCTGCTGCCCCTGCTGCTCTTTACGCTGGTGCTGATGCTGCCAGAGGTGCTGGGTCTAGAGCGTAGATATGGAGTCTGGCCGCAGAGCATAATGAAGAGCGTGACACCAGCGCTCCACACGTCGCACTCACGGCCGTACGCCCCCCAGAACACCTCCGGAGCCATGTACTCTGCCGTCCCCACCTCCTCAGAAAGAGGAACCCCCGGAATCATTCTCGCCGCAACTCCAAAGTCAATCAGTTTGACGCTTTCAGGCGGCTCAGGGCACATTTTGAACACTCCTCCTGCGACGTTCTCCTCATTATTAGCAGGGTTTGATATAAGCACGTTTTCGGGTTTGACGTCGCGGTGCACGATGCCGTGCGAGTGGCAGTGCTGCAAGGCCAGCATGAGCGATCGGAAGATGCGCGCTGCAGAAGGTTCCGAGAGCCTTCCGTGCGAGTCAATGTGGTCAAACAGGTCTCCCCCCTCACAGAGCTCCATCACCACGTGCACGTGCTGGGGGGGGGGGGGGGGGGGGGGGGGGGGAAGAGGAGGAGTTGGTGAGGTGGAGGGATGGCATAGGAAAAGGGGAAAGAAAGGCAACGACGAATTCAAATCTGGGTAAAACAAGAAAGCCAAGCCAAAAAAAAAGTTTGGGGGGAAGGAGGAGGGAGGGGGGTGATTTCGAAGGGACCATTTGTTACTTACTTTGTTCGTCTCAGCAGCTTGCTTAATCTGAATGATGTTCGGATGGCCCTTGAGTTCCTCCATGAATGCCACCTCATTACGCACTGCCTCCACGTCAGCAGCACTCTGCACAAGGGGACAACAAAAATCAGGGGAAAAGTTAATACGAGCGAGATGGGAAATGCACGGGCCGACACCTATTCATTTTTTTTTTCTTCCTTTAGAAAAAGTTGTGAAAAAAAAGTTGTAAAAAAAAAAAAAGAAAGCAGTTTGCTCATCATTGAGCACTTTCCTGATGCCTGACAAGTCAGAAGCATGGGTTGAATTTCGCTCAAGCTAACCAAGGGTAGGCGAAGGGAAATCACCAAGCATGGGGATTTTCTGATGGGGGAGACAGGATAAGGGAGGTAGGGTGGGTTCGGGACGGGACAGGTCAGGGCAGGCAGCGTCGCTACCTGAATGGCAGCCTTTCTGATGCTCTTGCAGGCAGCGTGTTCCCCGGTGCTGCGGTGCACGCATCGCCGTATCACACCGTACTGCCCCCTGCCTATCTCCTTTCTAAGCAAAAGCCACTGCTGCCGAATGTCCCCCGCTGGCCGCCCCAACACCTCCCCCACTTGCACCTCCCCCACTCGCACCTCCCCCGCATCCATCTCTGTTTGAATGGTCGTCAGTTGCTCGGCCCTGGTTGCAAGGTCACAGCCCGATCCGGACCCTGACTGCACAGCAGTCAAAGAATCGTTGACTAGAGTAACTCGGTTGACCGCGTTGACTGCGTTGAGAGAGTTGACTGCGTTGACCTGATTGAGCAGGTCAACGGAGGACGAAACGAGCCCATCGGGAGCATCACAGAACCACTGCCGTAGCAGCGACCGCCGCTGCTGCCGCCCCATGCCCATTCGCAGCGCCGCTCCCGCATCACGCTGCGCCGTCTCGAAGGAATTCTCGCTCTCGCGTCGCATGTGCCGCGGCAGCTGCTGCGATTCGAGTTCTCGGATACCCGCGGCGCGCGGCTGCACTTCATTTGTCGCGCCGCACATCATGAAGCACGAAGGTGTGGATGACGAGTAAAAGCTACCACTGCCCGAGGGTGTTTCATCTGCGGCGGCCGGTCTCCGCGCGCCAGCTCTAGCGGCGGCGGGGGTGATGGCGACGGCGGCCGCGGGTGCGGCGGGTGAGCGGCGGCGCGCGGCGCGGCGGGAACGCGGAGAGTGGGAGAGAGGGGGAGGGCTGGGCGGGGATACGGAGAGAGCGGGCGGGGATGCGGGGAAGTCAAAGGCGGTCTTGGGACTGCCGCCCTGCTGCTGACAGTACTGACTCGTACGCTGCTGCTGCTGCTGCTGCCGACTCCAGTGCCGATGATGTCGATGCAGGCGACGGGATTCTGCCGCCACGGTTACTACGAGAGGCATTTCCGCGTGATAGCAACGGGGTTCGCCGTGCTGTTCCTGCTGGTGATGCTGCTGCTGCTGATGCTGCTGCTGCCGAGGGCCGTGATGGTGATGGTCGTGGAGGTGGTGATGCTGCTGCTGCCGCTGAGGGTCGAAGCAGTGGTGGTGGAGGTACCGACTGGTTGCGGCATTGACGGCCGCGCAGGGACCGTCGAGCTGACTCGCGACGATCAGGTCGTGCCAGTCGTTGCAAATAGCGGCCGCAGTACAGGTGGTACCAGCAGGTATCCGCTCACCGCATTCCGCGGTATCCGCGCGGTGATGATGATGTCCCCCGCTGCGCCGCGCGCCAGGACTCCCGCGCACGATCGTTCCGCCGTTACTACCTATATTCGGAGGCATTTCGTCAGAACTCACTGGAAACATCTCTATTGATTGCCCGCGTTACAGCGGCGCGTTCGCTATTGCACTACAGTACACCGAACAGTGCTTGAAGTGGCGAATTCGATCGCAGCAAGCGAGATGGATACCCTTCCCTTATTTCGTGAAGCGCTTGAAGCAGATTCAGTAAGCTGGTAGAGAGAGACAGCGAAGGTGAGGGTTTCAGGAGCAAGGCAAGGGGGGAGCTTTCCTGTCTTGCGGAACGACTGTATTTGGAGAGGCAGAGTTTCTGCTATGCGTTGCTCAGAACGCCGCTGCTTTATACGAGCCTAATTCCAATTTGGCTTAGGACACGAGGAGAGGATGGACCCGTCGAATCTGATAAGGCACGTCGCGTACGACGAAAGTTCCCCCGATCTTTCTGAGGTATCTCTCGACCCGAATATGCTTTGCTACTGCTGCACTGTGGTACTGTTGAGCTGAGGTAATCTGTTGCACTGTGTTACTGTTAAGCTGAGGTAATCTGCTGCACTGTGGTGGTATGTTGTACTGTGCAGCATCGGCTCTGTAGTGCTGTCGGCCACGCGGCCGTCGGGATTGGCGCAAAGCAACGCAACGCGGTGCTCGTGGAGCGGCAGGACTGCTGCTCGTCGCTTGAATAGCAGCGTCCGCCCTGTTGTCGGGCGAGCGCGGGTCGCGTCGTCCTCACTACGTTGCGAGCCCATTTTGTGCCAACGCCGCGAAAGCGCGACAACTTGTAAGTCGCAACTTGGATTGCCAACGAGGCGACGAAATGGGGCCCGCCCGGAACATTACGCGGAGTTCTAGAGTTCGTTCTAGGAGAACTCAGCAGTACTGTACGCAGGCCACAGTATTGACGACGTGTGGTACAGACGGACAGATGATCTATGGATAAGTATGACAAGGCTGGTGTGTCACCGAAATAGCTCCACTGCGGCTGATTTCAGGGCTTGCCATAAGCGACATAGGGGTGGGTTCAAAACGTTTTCCAGGTTTTCCATTCGGTACAATAACAAAATGCTTCGTGTTTATTGACTAGAGGTCTGTTGGGGAGGGATGTGAATTCAGATGGCAGGGCTGGATCATCCAGTGCCTGGCTTTGTTGGAGATTGGTGTTGCGGGGCGGTGTCATGTTGAGATGGAAAGCGATTTGGCGACCCCTTATGGTAACCGGCGGGGTTTGCTTGTCGATGAAGCTGGAGGGGAGATGGGCGGGGTAACTTCGCAATGTACGGCTGCTAGCGCGGTTTAGCGAATTGTTGACGACGATGTCCCTAAACCGCTGCTTGATTGGCGGTGAGGGTGCTTTGGTTGTGTTGCTGCTGTTCTTTCGCAGAACGAATCGACGAGCCCCGTGATCGAGGCGCGAGATGTCGCGAGCCGATGCCGACACTGATTGGTGGATGGAAGGTGTGGCGAAATGTATGTTACCAAATCAAAAGGCATCTTGCCACAAGATGCTGACTGGGCACGTGAATGTATGCCAGATCACTAAAAAGCATCCCTGCAGTGCTGTAACCTGCCTCAGGCCCACTGGCAAGTCCATCCATCCACGCACGCGAAGGACCTTTTGTCATCATTGCGCGTCAGCAAAGGTCGACCAACCAGGCGGTTGTTTTTTTTTTTTTTTTGGTTGATTGGGGGATTCTATTAAAATATTACAATGTAGCATAATTACGCAAGGAAAAGGAGTGGAAACGGGAAGAGAGGAGAAAAGGAGGAATAACGTGAGTAGAAAAAAGGAGAGAGGAAGAAAGGAGGAGGGGAATAGGGGAAAAATGATAGGAGGAAGAAAAACAGGGAAGAAGGAAGAAAAAGCAGCACCAGGGCTCAGGTTTGATTTTGGCCTACTCATGATTGGCAGTGTAGCTTTTTCAAAAACCCTTATGGGCAGTGTGTACTTTTCCATTACACTGATAGAGCAGTGTAACATCAGGTTTTGAAATTTTTACCCTGCATCATCAGTGTGTCAAGATAATAGGCAAAAGAGGGCATGAACTAGCAAGAATGGGGGTAGAAATAGCAAACCCTAGAATGGTTGTACTCGCTATAGAGCACCCCACTACAGGCTAGAGCATAATATTCTGACACACCCCCATAGCCAAAGTGGGGTGTAATCAGCAGAGCAAACAAAGCAGTACAAGCTCAGGGTGGATCACAATGTCACCACACATTCTGAGCACAAGTTCAAGAAGCAATAGTTTAAAGGTTCAAATTATGAGCAAAGCTAGAGGCAGTCACAGGGGGGCAAGTGAGGAGGAGGAGGGCTGGCGAGAGGAGAGTAGATAGGAGGCGACGACTGAAGCTGCAGACACACGGGCAACAGACGGCTCTGGTGCGACAACGTGGCTACCGGGAATGAGTGCCCCGGAGTACAGGAGTAACAGGCTCCGCGGCTAATATGCGCGGCAGGAGCAACGGACCCACAGGCGACGGCGCAACCGGCTCTCTGAGCTACCGGTGGCTAATCGAACCCCGGAATACAGGCGCTGCGGACGACACGACGGCGGCCTCCGCTCAACCTCCTCCAACTGTCCCACACCCCTCGACACACACCCTCTGCTTCAAACCCTAGCTCCACTCCGACGGTACCCCCCTTAAACCCCAAACCCTAGGCTCCCACACACCACCCCCCTCAGCGGCAGCTGTAGCAGAGGGAGACGAGGGAGGAGGAGGAGCAGGGGGAGGAACTCACAACCGACACCCCCATAGCCGCCACCCCCACACTCTTCACCCCCAAACCCTAATTCAGGAGAACGGGCTGTAGGAGGGGTGGGGCGCCGGTAGAAGCACGGGGGACAGTGGAGAGGGCAGGAGCAGCGAGGAACGGGCCGCCCACGGGCCTGGTATAGCCGCCCGAACCGCGCGCAGGCGGCCCGAGCCGCGCGCGGGCCTGGCGCTTCCCGTACGGGCCGCGCGCGGGCCTGGCGCAGCCTGTACGGGCCGCGCGCAGGCCTGGCGCAGCCCGTACGGGCCGCACGCCGGCTGTACGGGCCGCGCGCAGGCCACGACGGGCGACGGGGGGCGACGCGCGGGTCCCCGTCGCCCGTCGCAACGCCTCCCGGGGGCGACGCGTCGAGTGACGGGGCAGAAGCCCGCCGCGCGCCTCGGGGCGCACAGCGGGCAGAGAACCGCCGCGCGCCACGGGGCGCACGGCGGGCAGAAAACCGCCGCGCGCCTCGGGGCGCACGGCGGGAAGAAAAAACTGCCGCACGCCACGGGGCGTGCGGCACATAGAGTAGCAGCGGAAGTTGCAGCGGAAGCAACGAGGTGGTGAGCCCACCCACAGGATCGATCCAAAGGGATCGACCTGCTCTGATAGCATGTCAAGATAATAGGCAAAAGAGGGCATGAACTAGCAAGAATGGGGGTACAAATAGCAAACCCTAGAAGGGTTGTACTCGCTATAGAGCACCCCACTACAGGCTAGAGCATAATATTCTGACACAGTGTGGTTTTATTTCAAGCACTGACCATGTGTAAATTAGGTGTGTATGACAGGTGGCGAGAAAGTTATCTGCCTCCCAGGTCTCCTGCCCCCTCGATCGATTGTTTGTGAGGGGCGGGGGGGAAGGGGAGGACTTACGAAATTGGCGACAATTTCGCCTCCCCTTCCCCCTCGATCGATTGTTTGTGAGGGGCGGGGGGGAAGGGGAGGACTTACGAAATTGGCGACAATTTCGCCTCCCCTTCCCCCTCGATCGATTGTTTGTGAGGGGCGGGGGGGGAAGGGGAGGACTTACGAAATTGGCGAGAATTTCGCCTCCCCTCCCCCTCGACCGATTGTTTGTGGGGAAGGGGGGGGAGGGGGGGGGGGGGGGGGGGGGGGGGGAGGGGGGGGGTGGTTGTGGGGGTCCGTGTACGCTCTTCAGTGTAATCCTCGCTAAGGGAAACTTTACCCCAAGGCATCAGTGTGGCCTACATCGATACACTTACTGAACTGTGTAACACTAACTCATAAAAAAATTACCCCAGCACATCAGTGTAGACCCAAAATTTCACCCTTGTAATCAGTGTAGAAGGGTAAATTACACTGATAACCTGAGCCCTGAGCAGCACACACAACCCCAAGAAAACCCCAATAGCACACACATTTAAAACACCATCAAGCCCTCCCATCAAAGCACCCCAACTGCACTCCCATCGAACCAAACCTCCCCCCCTAAACCCACTCCCTAAACCCGCATGTCTACCAAGTATGGTGCATCCGCCCACGGAGCATCCCATCCCATCTCCTCCTCAACATCCTCCCGCTCCACCCAAACAGCCTCTGGGCCTCTCATCATCGACGCCGCGCGTAACAAGATCACACGCGCCTGAGCCCGTTGCAAAGCCACACCCACAGCCGCTTTGAGCGATCCGAGCAAATAAGCCGAGAAACCCTTTCCCGTAGCTCGCGCCGCCCCTTTCGTCTTTGCTATCTCGATCTGCGCGTCACCCTGCTTCTTAAGCCACCGTCCAAAACTCCCCCCCAAGCATCCCCATGTCTCAGCAATGAGTGGTGTGAACTGCACTCCCCCATGCCGCTGTAGAAGCGATTTGTAGTCCGCCGTCTTCCGCTTTTCTCTCTCTCTCGCGGCAAAACCCACCTTGCGACCAATCTGTCCATGGTGCTGCGCGGATAGCGAGATAGGATCTACCACACTAACCTCCAGCGCGTGCTCCTCCCCCTCCCTCAGTTTCCGAACCGCCACATCAACCCTCTTCCCTGGGAGCAACGTGTCGTCTTCCATGGTCACAATCCCACCCGCACCCTTAGCTATCTTCGCCACCACAAATTTAACCGCATCGTGAACCCGAGAAGGTGCATACTGATACTTGCAGCGAAGGGCATGATGCGGGTCAGAGGGATCAGCAAACTCAAACCCACACGCGCACTTGCCGGCCACTATCAGCTGCTGAATAGGGAGGCCTAGGCGCATGGACGCGCAGATGCTCCACTCGGCTGCGGTGAAGGTAGCCTCCTCGTGCGAAGGAACGGCAGAAACCCACGCCCCAGCCCCCGGGCCCTGAAGGGATGTCAAACGGGCCAGGGTGGCATCGTTGTGGGCCATGCCTCGAAGAGATTGGAGGCTCTCAACCGCCAGGCGACGGTGTTGTGTGGGGAAGAGCAGCATAGGCGGATCAGCGGTGCACAAGGCAAGGGGTGGCATCTCCTGCCGAACCGACTGTGGAAGCAGATCCACTGCTCTCGCAAACCAGGGGTCCAACAAGGTCGTAGCCTCGGGCGTGCGGAAAAACTCCTCAAACATCCGCTCCTCACCTGCCACCCCCAACCGAGCCACATCGCTCACTGCTTGGCACCAGCCACATGCATACGACAGAGGACTAAGTCTCAGAATAGTAGCACAAGGAAGTAGTTAATTGGGTTAACTGGGCCTAGGCTTAGTAGCCTAGGCCCAAGGGAGTCGAGGTGGTTTTGTGCCAAGGAGAGAGTGTCAAGAGTTGAGAGGAGAATGATGATGTTCACTATAGGACTTGGGGTACAAATAGTTAACAAAGCATGCAAAGAAGGTGCACCACCAACAGTTTATAATAACTACACTAAACTACAGCTACAGGCAGTTACACAAATATATATTCTAACACTCCCCCATAACTGCCTGCAGCAGGAGTTTGTGCAGAACACAACCTGCAGGGGTACACCAGCAACAGCAACAGCAGGCACGGTAACAGAGCAGGTACAGCAGCAAAGGGACAAAGCACTCCTGCCACCCCTTTAATCTCCTCCCCCCCCCCCCCTCAGAGGGACAGGGGCTGGATGGTTTGGTCTCACACCGCCACCCCAATGCCACTCCCCTGCCTCCCCCACACCCTCACACCCTCCCCCCCAGCGGCAGCTGCAGCAGTGGGAACGAAAGGAGGAGGAGGGGAAGGGCAACACACCACCCATCACCCCCACACTCGCCACCCCAAGACCCTCCCCCCCACGGCCGCACGAGGGCAGGCGCGGGCGAGGAAGGGGCGGCAGCACGAGGGCAGACGCGGGTGGGGCAGGGGCGGCTGCACGAGGGGAGGCTCGGGTGAAGCAGGGGCGGCTGCACGAGGGCAGGCGCAGGTGAAGCAGGTGCGGCTGCACGAGGGCAGGCGCGGTTGATGCAGGGGCGGCTGCACGAGGGCAGACGCGGGTGATGCAGGGCGGCCGCACGAGGGCAGGCGCGGGTGAGGTAGGAGCGGCTGCACGAGGGCAGGCGCGGGCGACGCAGGGGCGGCTGCACGAGGGCAGACGCGGGTGATGCAGGGCGGCTGCACGAGGGCAGACGCGGGTGATGCAGGGCGGCCGCACGAGGGCAGGCGCGGGTGAGGCAGGGGCGGCTGCACGAGGGCAGGCGCGGGTGTTGCAGGGGCGGCTGCACGAGGGCAGACGCGGGTGAAGCAGGTGCGGCTGCACGAGGGCAGGCGCGGGCGACGCAGGGGCGGCTGCACGAGGGCAGACGCGGGTGATGCAGGGCGGCTGCACGAGTGCAGGCTCGGGTGAAGCAGGGGCGGCTGCACGAGGGCAGGCGCAGGTGAAGCAGGTGCGGCTGCACGAGGGCAGGCGCGGTTGATGCAGGGGCGGCTGCACGAGGGCAGACGCGGGTGATGCAGGGTGGCTGCACGAGGGCAGACGCGGGTGATGCAGGGCGGCCGCACGAGGGCAGGCGCGGGTGAGGCAGGGGCGGCTGCACGAGGGCAGGCGCGGGTGTTGCAGGGGCGGCTGCACGAGGGCAGACGCGGGTGAAGCAGGTGCGGCTGCACGAGGGCAGGCGCGGTTGATGCAGGGGCGGCTGCACGAGGGCAGACGCGGGTGATGCAGGGCGGCCGCACGAGGGCAGGCGCGGGTGAGGTTGGGGCGGCTGCACGAGGGCAGGCGCGGACGACGCAGGGGCGGCTGCACGAGGGCAGACGCGGGTGATGCAGGGCGGCTGCACGAGGGCAGACGCGGGTGAGGCTGGGGCGGCTGCACGAGGGCAGGCTCGGGTGAAGCAGGGGCGGCTGCACGAGGGCAGGCGCAGGTGAAGCAGGTGCGGCTGCACGAGGGCAGGCGCGGTTGATGCAGGGGCGGCTGCACGAGGGCATGCGCGGGTGAGGCAGGAGCGGCTGCACGAGGGCAGGCGCGGGCGACGCAGGGGCGGCTGCACGAGGGCAGACGCGGGTGATGCAGGGCGGCTGCACGAGTGCAGGCTCGGGTGAAGCAAGGGCGGCTGCACGAGGGCAGGCGCAGGTGAAGCAGGTGCGGCTGCACGAGGGCAGGCGCGGTTGATGCAGGGGCGGCTGCACGAGGGCAGACGCGGGTGATGCAGGGCGGCCGCACGAGGGCAGGCGCGGGTGAGGTTGGGGCGGCTGCACGAGGGCAGGCGCGGACGACGCAGGGGCGGCTGCACGAGGGCAGACGCGGGTGATGCAGGGCGGCGTCGCGGGGCTCTGGGGCGGCGTCGCGGGGTCCAGGGGATGCGTCGCGGGGCTCTGGGGCGGCTCGACGGGGCAGAAAACCGCCACGCGCCCCGAGCGCGTGGCGGGAAGAAAAAACGTCGCGCGCCACGGGGCGCGCGACATACTAAACAGCAGCAGCGGAAGCTTGTGGTAGCCCACAGGCCAAGGGCGTAACAGCTCTGATTCCATCTCAGAATAGTAGCACAAGGAAGTAGTTAATTGGGTTAACTGGGCCTAGGCTTAGTAGCCTAGGCCCAAGGGAGTCGAGGTGGTTTTGTGCCAAGGAGAGAGTGTCAAGAGTTGAGAGGAGAATGATGATGTTCACTATAGGACTTGGGGTACAAATAGTAAACAAAGCATGCAAAGAAGGTGCACCACCAACAGTTTATAATAACTACACTAAACTACAGCTACAGGCAGTTACACATATATTCTAACACTAAGGTCAGCCGCAGATCGAATGCCGAACCCCCCGAGTCTGGCAGGAAGGTGCAGCTGTAAACGAGCCATCTGGGACTTCCCCGAATCGTGATCCCAGGTACTATCTGGAAACAGCTCCTCGAAACAATCTTCCAGCTTCGTGTCCCAGTCCCGAAAAGCCTCCACAACCTCAGGTCGTGGAGGCATCGTCCGTGTGAGGTAGATCGGGCGCGCCGACACTGCGATCGCCAACAAATGGGACGCAATCTGTGGGTGGTCAAGCAGAGGAAGCCAGGGGACAGGTGCATGCAGCTCCGTCAGCCGGCGACGCAGGCTAGCCACCTCCCAGTCCTCCTCCCCAATGGGCACCCCTACCACAGTGAGCCCCGTCCATGTCTGCTGCATGCCGGGCGGGACAGTCTCATTTCTCTCCTCCCCATCCTGGTCCCTCCCTCGCTCCCATAGCGTACCTATTGTGCAGACGTGTCATAGCGTCTAAGTTACTGTACGTTTGATCAACGACCCTCATTAAAGAGTATATCCATTTGTGGTACACCTACTCCATGAATAGCTATAAAGGTATAAACACCTTGCTTCAGTATGAGCAAAAAACTCACAGTACCTCTGGATATCGTTGTTTGCAATACATGGTAATTTGTATCCAGTTTAACAACAACCAGACTTTGCCTTCTCTACAGTGGCGGACCACCAGGCTCCAGCCACTGAGGCCGGAAACCTTGACCACGCAGTAAAGGGCCCCTGGTGAGCCCCCTTCTCAGAAACAGTGAATGCACTGCTGTAGCGCGATACAGTCAGCATGGCAGCAGTTGTAGCATCCACAGGCGTCGCCACACCCGTCTTGAAAATTCTCACATCGTCCAGGGTAAATTCCCCTTCTTGCCCTGGAATAGACCCGGAATAAGTCGCCGTCTGCCCGTAATTCTCGGGCAGGTCCTCACCCTCCCCGTCACCCGCCCCCGAGGGCAGCTTCACAGCACGAACGGTCAGGCTGTAGAATCGAATTGGGCCGACGCGGGCGGCAATGTCTGGATTTTCCACGTCAAGCTCTCGAGCCTCCACCACTCCCCACCCACCCAGACCCACCGAGGCCATGAGGCGGCGGAAATCCTCCAAATAGAGAGCTCCACTGAGACACTCACCGAAGAGTACCTGCCAAAACACATGACAGGAAGAGGGTGAATGGGAAAGGACGAGGTGAAGGGCTTCGCCACTCTCCAGTACAGACGCTCAGACCCACACAGGCCATGAGGCGCCGGAAATCCTCCAAGTAGAGCACAGAACCTGCCAAAACAGGCACGTGTGCAGGGGGTGATTGGGAAAGCATCAGGTGAAAGGCTTAACCACTCTCCATACGCCCAGACCCACCGAGGCCATGAGGCGGCAAAAATTCTCCAAGTAGAGTGCCCCGCTGAGACACTCACCAAAGAAAACCTGCCAGAAACCACGGGACAGCGAGTTGGTAACTGGGAAAACACGTTGTGAAGGGTTCAACCCCTCTCCACTTGCTCAGCCCTACAGAGGCCATGAGGCGGCATAAACCCTCCAAGTAGAGAGAATAACTGAGGCATTCTCCAAAGAGAATCTGCTGTGGTTCTGGAAGATGGGAGATGGAAGGAGAGTGAGGGGGGAGAAGTGAAGGGAGGCCATGAGGCGGCGAAAATCCTCCAAGTGGAGGGCCGCGCTGAGACACTCACCGAAGAGATCCTGCTGTGGTTCATGTTACACTTGAGAAATCTCAAAAGTAACATCGAGAGTGTTGGATTGAATTGGAGTGAGGGGAGGGAGGAGATGGGAGGCCATGAGGTGCCAAAAATCCTACAAGTGGAAAGCCCTGCTAAGGCACTCGCAGACTAGGCCTCCCTCCCTATTCCCCTACCCCCCTGCCCCCCTGCCCTTGTGCCCCCCTGCCCCACCTCAACCCTCCCTCCCCCCCCCCCCCCCCCCCCCCCCCTCTTTCCCCCACGCCCCCCTGCATCCATTCCTGATTCTCACCTTGTCCTGTTGCAGGTGCTTGGGGATTCTCCGGTCGGCAAACACGTCCGAGAAGTAGAGCTCACCGCCCGTCTTGAGCACACGGGCGATCTCAGCGATCACAGGCACCTTGCTGGGGGCGAGGTTGATGACACAGTTGGACAACACCACATCGACCGAGCTGATAGGGGAGGGGTAAGAGGAAGAGAGGGAGTGAGATGGAACGGGATTGTGAGTTGGCCTTGCTGGGGGCGAGGTTGATGACACAGTTGGACAGCACCACGTCCACGGAGCTGTTGGGGGGAAAGGATGAGGGAGGCGGAAGAGGGGAGGGAGTTGAGGTGGGATGCTGAGTTGGCCTTGCTGGGGGCGAAGTTGATTGATGACACAGTTGGGCACCACCACGTCCACAGAGCTGTGTTCGTCAAGAGGGAGAAGGTGGGGAGGTTGAAAGGGGTAAGGATGGGCTCAGTGCGGGGCGATCTCGGCCATCACAGGCACCTTGCTGGGGGCGAGGTTGATGACACAGTTGGACACAACTACGTCCACTGAGCTGCATAGTGGAGGGAAGGAAAGAAGGGGGAACAAGAAGTGGGCGAGAAGAAGAGAGATGTAAGGGTTGGATGTAGAGAGGTGCCTTGTTGGGGGCGAGGTTGATGACACAGTTGGACACCACCACGTCCACAGAACTGTGAAGGGAGAAAGTGACGGGGAGGTTGAAAAGAGGGTGAGAACAAGGCACTGTTGGGCGATCTCAGCGATGACAGGCGTCTTGCTGGGGGCGAGGTTGACGACACAGCTGGACACCACCACGTCGACCGAGCTGTAGAGGAGGGGCGAGAGGAAGCAAACAGGAAGGGGGGAAGGGAGCGAGACAGCACGGCATGAGGTGTGGTTGACAGGCGACTTGCTGGGGGCGAGGTTGATGGCACAGTTGGATATGACCACGTCGACGGAACTGTTGGGAAGGAAGGGGGGAACGAGACGAGGAGGGAAAGAAGCAGAGAAAGGCATGTGTTGGGGTGAAGAGGTATCGTGCTGGGGGCGAGGTTGATGGCACAGTTGGATACCACAACATCCACGGAGACGTGTTTAACAAGAGGGTGAAAGTGACGGGGAGGTTGACAAGGGGGTGAGAATACGGCAGTGTTGAGTGATCTCAGCAATCACAGGCGCCTTGCTGGGGGCGGGGTTGATGACGCAGCTGGACACCACAACATCGACAGAGCTGTGAAGGAAGAGCAGGAGAGGAACAAAAATGGGTGGGGGTAATGGAAGAGGGGGAGGGGGAGAGGGAGGGGGGGAGGAGGGTGGGGGAAGGGAGAAGGCGGGAGGGTGGGAAGGGAGCGAGCAAAACAGCATGCTATGAGGTGTGACCCACAGAGCTGCGCTTAACAAGGGGAGAGAGAAATGGAGGAGTGGGGGGGAATATTGCGAAAGGGGGAAATTTTGAAGGGAGAGGAAGGTGGTGAGAGTGAGGCAGGGTACGAGGAGGTGCAGTGAGATGATGAACGGGCGTGTTGAGAGGGACGGCATCTTGCACCGCACTCTCTCATGTTCCCATCCCCACCCACCCACCCACCCATCCACCCACCCACCCACCCACCCATCCACCCACCCACCCACCCACCCATCCACCCACCCACCCACCCACCCACCCACCCACCCACCCACCCACCCACCCACCCACCCACCCACCCACCCACCCACCCACCCACCCACCCACCCACCCACCCACCCACCCACCCACCCACCCACCCACCCACCCACCCACCCACCCACCCACCCACCCACCCACCCACCCACCCACCCACCCACCCACCCACCCACCCACCCACCCACCCACCCACCCACCCACCCACCCACCCACCCACCCACCCACCCACCCACCCACCTGCACAATCACCCACACGCCCACCCGCCCACCTATCCTCGACATTAGCAGCCTTGAGATCCTCTATAAACCCCTTCCGGAACGAGACGTTGGACTTGTCAAAGCCAAACTTCTCCCGATGATACTCCTCGTGCTTCCGTGCCACTGCCAGCTGCTCGTCTGCAGATGGGGGCATCAAATGCACGAGGGGTGAGGGGCGGGGGGAGGAGAAGCGAGGGATTAGAGAGCAGGCAGCAGGCAGCAGGCGGTGGTGCTCCTCGTGCTTCGGGGGTGGTGGTTCGGAGAAAGCAGGGAAAGAAGGTGAGAAGGAGATTTACTCGGGCGCAGAGCAGGCGACAATCAGTGTCTTTAACAAACCTGTCGACTCGCGTTTCCTGTCGGCTCTTCCCTTTCCCCTAACCCCCCCCTCGCCGTCCCATTCCCCCTAACCCCTCCCTCGTCGGCATCCATGCTGACCTGTCATGTCGATGCCAATGACCTGGCCTGTGGGCCCCACCAGCTGAGCTGCCACGTAGACATCCCGCCCTGTTCCGCACCCCAGGTCAAGCACCGTGCAGCCCTGCGGCACGGGGAGAGAGGGCAGAGGGGAGAGGGGAGAGGGGAGAGGGGAGAGGGGAGAGGGGAGAGGGGAGAGAAAGGAGGTCAAGGGGGTCGAATACGGAAGAAATGAACAGGAAGTTAAAAAGAAAGTTATCACGGGATTAAGAAGGATTTCTGCGAGAATTCTTTAAAAAATCTTGGATGAAGGTCGATTAACATACAAAGGCGGAGCGAGGGGAACCAGGGAGATTTTCAAGACCATGTTGACGCAGTGACTCGGAGTGAGGACTCTATTCAAGGTTGATGGACCAAGCAGCTCAGATGCATTCACACGCAAATTCGCAGATGCCTTCACGCAGATGCTCAGATGCCTTCTTTCACGCGGCAGCCCGGCGATGGGAAGAGATGCGAAGAGATGCGAAGCTTATCAAGCTCCAATAAACGGCTCAGATCACTTTCAAATGAACGTACCTTGAGCAGAGGAGGGATGGGCGATCCACAGCCGTAGAATTTCGACAAGATCTCATCGTGGACGTTGCCGAGCAGGCGGCGAATGTCCGCTCCCAGGCCGCCTTTCACCAGACACGCTGACGTCTGCAGATCCGTCTGCTGCTGCACCGTCTTCCCGTAATACTCGCTCACGTCAGCATGCGTCACGTCGCTTCCAGCGCCGGTCGCGGCGGCGGGAGGCGCGGCGGATTTAGGGCCGCAGCAGCTGCTCTTAGCAGGCTCAGCCGGAGCGGGAACAGTCTTAGGCCCGCAGCATGATGAGGTTGCCGGCTTAGCTTTCGACGAAGCGGCGGAAGCTTTCGGCCCGCAGCACGACGTCTGCTTCGCGACGGAAGCGGTGGTTGCCTTGTTACAGCACGACATGGCGAACGAAGTGGCGAAAGGACGGCGGATGAAGGATGATTGAAGAGTACGAATCAACATCGGTGGAGTTTTAGGCAGCAAGCAAGCAAATGGATGCGCTTGTGTTGTACTGCTACTAGGGTCTATTTGAGTTGAGATGTTTGTGCGGGCCTATCTAGGGCATGTATGGATGGAAGCGCAACGGAAACCCAGCCCCACCCATTGCGCTAGGGAAACAGATTGCCCCTCTGTGTTGCGGGCAGGTCACACAAACACCCCTCAGGTTGGCAAAAGTTTTGGCTCACACCAGTGCTTCGGGCTGACACGCAAAAAGTGGACATGTCAAAACCACGGGCACGATCTGAGTTGAAATTCAAAACACCACCTTGTGTCTGGCTTGCATCCGACGCAGTCTGATAATACATCCAACATTTCGGGAATTCAGACCAAGTAACTGGGGTTCGCGCGGATTACCGTGGAGAATTCCAGAACCGCATAAATCAAAACGCAATTTCCAGGAATTCAAGGTTGGGGAATCTTTTTCGGAAGGGATTCCCTCGTTGAGTGGGCATAGGTATACGCGCTTTGAACTGCTTTGATTCAAAGTTTCTACAATCATAAGCTCTTCAATAGAGTTTCCCGAATATCGAATACGTAAAACGAAGGTAAAATATCAAGGAAGGGGGACATCTAGGAGTTTGCTCCTTATGAAGGTACCGATACTCCTTATGAGGGTTTGCTGGTCACCCGGCATGCCATGCACTACAATGTGGTACTGTAAATTGTTTTACTGGGAGAAGATCATTCCGTACAGTATGACAGCAAATACAGTATGACGCATAGTGTTGACCATACCGTACCTTATGAAATGGATAGTTGAAGAAAATTTCGTCCTCTTTAATGTATCCCACCCCGCCACTTCGAGTAGAAGACCAGAGTAGGATTGGCCCACCTCAAGTTTCACCTCAGAAGTTCTCGTTCTTGCCTGTAACCTTAAAGAGTCGCAATTGCAGTTTTACCGTACTCCCAGGCTTCAGTTCAGGACTCCAATTTCAATAAGCAAGAAACACATCAAGCGCCAATAAACACTCCATTTCAATCTAACAGCAACGAGGTTTCGCCTTCTCTACAGTAGCAGACCACCAGGCACCAGCAACCGAAGCCGGAAATCTTGGCCACCCAGTAAAGACCCCCTGGTGAGCAGCCTTCTCAGTGACAGTAAAGACACTGCTGTAGCGAGACTCTGTCAGCATGGCAGCAGTTGTAGCATCCACAGGCGTGGGCACACCTGCCTTGAAAACCCTCACATCATCCAGGGTGAATTCCCCCGCTTTCTCTGGAATAGACCCGGAATAAGTCGCCGTCTGCCCGTAATTCTCGGGCAGGTCCTCGCCTTCCCCTTCGGGCAGCTTCACCGCCCGCACAGTGAAGCTGTAATATTTGATCGGGCCGATCTGGGCGGCAATCTTGGGGTTGTCTACGTGGAGTTGTCGAGCCTCCACCACTCCCCACGCACCCAGACCCACAGAGGCCATGACACGCCGGAAATCCTCCAAGAAATGGGCGCCACTGAAGCCCTCCCCAAAGAGAACCTGTCAGGTGCACATCACAAGCAGCCATGAGGAGCAACCAGGAGAATGTGAGGAGAATGATGAGGTGACGAGGCCCAGACCCACAGAGGCCATGAGACGCCGGAAATCCTCCAGGTAATGCGCACCGCTGAAGCCCTCGCTGAAGAGAATCTGATGCCGATGTGAAGAGGGTGCGATGCGAATAGAGGTGATGGAAAGCCATGAGACGATTTTCTCAAAAGCAATCCAAGTAAAGCGCACTGGTTAGGTGATCGTTGTTCGGGGGAATGCTGGTTGGGGAGGAGGCATGGTGACTGGTACAGGAGGAAAAAAAAAAAAAAAAAAAAAAAAAAAAAAGCAATGAATGATCGTCTGCTCACTGCCTTGAAATGGACGGCTCACCTTGTTCTCTTGTGCAACAACTGGTATCCAGCCCTCGGCCTCACCTTGTCCTGTCGCAGGTGCTTGGGGATTCTCCGGTCGGCAAACACGTCCGAGAAGTAGAGCTCGCCGCCCGGTTTGAGCACGCGGGCGATCTCGGCAAAGACAGGCAGCTTTACAGGCGTGAGGTTGATGGTGCAGTTTGAAACAACCACGTCCACTGAGCTGTTGGGGGAGAGGGAAAGGGGACGGGGGTTGTGGGGTGGAGGGGGGGGACTTGAGGTGGGTGGGGTCGTGAGTTGGCCTCGCTGGGCGTGAGGTTGATGGTGCAGTTTGAAACAACCACGTCCACTGAGCTGTTGGGGAAGAGGAGAGAAGAAGCGAGGACAAAGAGGAGGACAAGACAAGGGAGACAGATGGCATGAAGTAGGGATGACAGGCAACTTGCTGGGCGTGCGATTGATGACTTAGCCAGACGCATTTGAGAGGAGAGAGAGGGGAAGGGAAGGAGGGAAGGGAGGGAGGGAGAGGGAGGGTGGGGGGGGGGAGAAAGGGGGGTGTAACAGGGTAAAGCCCAGCTTTGTTCCATCTCCTTCTCTACAGCACCCGAACCCCAACCTTGCTACCGTGCCACCCCCTCAAAACCGCTACCATTGAACCCGCCTCAACCCCTCTCAACCTCCCCCTCCCCTAACCACCCACACAGCCACCCACCCACACACGCAACCACCAACACAGCCACCCACCTGTCCTCGACATTAGCGGCCTTGAGATCCTCTATAAACCCTTTCCTGAACGACACATTGGACTGGGCAAATCCGAACTTCTCCCGATGATACTCCTCGTGCTTCCGTGCCACTGCCAGCTGCTCGTCTGCAAAAGGAAAGTGGAACAGCAGGGGTACGGAAGGGTGGGAGGGAGGTGAAGAGCGAGCCTCTCAGCGGTACTCCTCGTGCCTGCGTGCCACTGCCAGCTGCTCGTCTGCAAAAGGAAAGTGGAACAGCAGGGGTACGGAAGGGTGGGAGGGAGGTGAAGAGCGAGCCTCTCAGCGGTACTCCTCGTGCCTGCGTGCCACTGCCAGCTGCTCGTCTGGGGAAAGGGAGCGGGGAGGGGGAGGAAGGTGGAAAGGGAGGGATAAGGGAGGGTGCGTGCAGAAGAGAGGGTGGGTGAGACTCCTCGTGCTTGCGTGCCACTGCCAGCTGCTCGTCTGGAGGATGCGTGGGGAAGGGAGGGAGGGCAATGAATGGGAGCGTGTGCCTCTCAGTGAGACTCCTCGTGCTTCCGTGCCACTGCCAGCTGCTCGCCTGCGCATGAGAGGGGACGATGCAGGAGGAGGAACGGGTGAAGAGGCGTGGAAATGAAGAGGAAAGGAAAAAAAAGAGGGGGGGAGGGGGGGGGGGGGGACCCTAGGTAAGGGATGCAGAGAAAAGAGGGAAAAAACAAGGATCCGAGAAATGCAACCCTCAGGATTTGTTGAAAAACATGGGTGAAAAACATAGGTGACAGAAATGAATGACGAACACGGACGCAAATTAGGGATCATGAATGGGAAGGAGGAGGAGGGGGGAGGTGAATAGAAGAGGCTGCCAGGAGCGGCTGCGGCACTAACATCCTCACGTCTTCGTTCACGGTTCCTTTCACGCCTTACCACCCCCCTCCCCCCCCCCCTCCCCCCCCTCCCCGCCCTCCCCGCCTCCCCCCACTAATATCCTTGCTGACCTGTCATGTCGACACCGATGACCTGGCCTGTGGGCCCCACCAGCTGCGCTGCCACGTAGACATCCCTCCCTGTTCCGCACCCCAGATCCAGCACCGTGCAGCCCTGCAAAGAGGAGAGGGATGGGCGAGGAGTGAGGGAAGAGAAGACCTTGTGAGTTGACTCGCACCCCAGATCCAGCACCGTGCAGCCCTGCAGGAGCGGAGGAGAGGGGAGGGGAGGAGAGGAGACGGGAAGATTTTAGCCTACCAGCACCCCAGATTCAGCAGCTTGCAGCACGTAGACATCCCTCCCGGTTCCGCACCCCAAATCCAACACCGTGCAGCCCTGTGGGAAGGGGAGAGGGGAGGAGATGGATGGGGGAGATTTTAATTTACCAGCATCCCATATTCAGCAAACTGCAGCACCAGCAGCACGTAGATATCCCTCCCTGTTACGCATCCCAAATCCAACACCGTGCAGCCCTGCAAAGTGGATAGAGGAGGAGAAGAGGGGAGGAGAAGGGAGGAGAGGGGAGGAGAGGGGAGGAGAGGGGAGGAGAGGGGAGGAGAGGGGAGGAGAGGAGAGGAGAGGAGAGGGGAGAGGATAGGGGAGGAGAGGGAGGAGGGGAGACGAGAGTGTACTCAAATCCAACACCGTGCAGCCCTGCGGCGAGGATAGAGGGGAGAAGGGGGAGGGGTCCGTTTGAGTTGACTCGCACGTCAGATCCAGCACCGTACATTACTACGAGAAGACGACGGGAGGGAGATGAGGCGAGAAAATGCGTAGAAAGGAAAAGGGAACAGGAGAGAGGAGGGAGCGGGGGGAAGCGAGTGGGAAGAGGGGGGGGGGGGGGAGGATTGGGGAAGCAGGGGGGGAAGGAGGGGGAAAGCAGGGGAGGGGGTAGGGAGAGGGAGGAGATGGGGGAGAGAACTAAGAGAGAAAGGGGAGGAACCAGGTACGGGATGAGAAGAATTCCTGCGTGTTGGAATCCAACGTCGGAAAAAGAGAGCCAGAGAGATTAAAGAGCATGCTGGCACCAGAAGCAAGCCTGGATTCGACGAGAAGCTAAGGTGAAACAACCAGATCAAATGTGTAACGGTGGAAGATCAAACAACCAGCCTGAACGTCTTATAACGGGAGCAAACCTTGCTGGGATGTGAGAAGAGGAGATCAGGGCCCGATGAACGGCTAAGATCACTTTCACACCACTGTACCTTGAGCAGGGGAGGGATGGGCGAGCCACAGCCGTAGAATTTCGTCAAGATCTCATCGTGGACGTTGCTGAGCAGGCGGCGAATGTCCTCGCCCAGGCCGCCTTTCACCAGGCACGCTGACGTCTGCAGATCCGCCTGCTTCTGCACCGTCTTGCCGTAATACTCGCTGATGTCAGCATGCGTCACGTCGCTTCCAGCGCCGCCGGTCGCAGCGGCGGGGGAAGCGGCGGCGCAGGTGCTGTTAGGCCCGTGGGGACGGGAACAGCCTTAGGCCCGCAGCATGAAGACATTGCGAATGCGGTGACGGAGGGACAACGGTGGAGATGTGATGGAGATCGAAGAGAACGAAGGAACAGTGGAGGAGTAGTAAGTACGCGGCAGGAGAAGAAACGGCGGGTGCAACTTGCGGTGAGCTGCAGGGAGGATGTCTCGAGGGTATCCCGAGGGGATTCCGAGGTTCGTCACGAAACGGGAACCCAGGTTGGCAAAGAGAATCCCGTTTGTTGGCAAAGCCGCGTCGCCGGGATGTTGTGAATGTACACCCCCCCGACAGATGATGTTCGGAAATAGAGAATGAATCACTAAGCATGATTGCATATTGCAAGCAAGTTGCACGGGTGCCCAGCCCAATGGCTGGAGTGGTGGGGGGAGGGTTCGCCTCGCAGCGTAGGTATTACTTGATTAGGTTACAGGTGCCTGCTTTTGCAGGTAATTACAGGAGGAAGGAACAATTCGCGATTTTCAGGTGCAAGTTATCGGAGCACTTAGGACTACCACGCGAAAAAAAACTATTTTGCAGAAGGTTCGAGGAACGCAGGAATCTCAAGGAGACTTCCAGGAACTCACAAAGGCCTTTGGTTTTGAAAGATGCCGAATCGACGGCTGTAAGTCCCCCACGATGGTCGGAAATCACGGTAATTTGCAGGGTGTGGATCTGTGACCCGTTTGGATGCTCGCGATAGGAAGCCTTGCTGTATAAAGCCAGTAGATGAACACGAAGATGGAGGTTGTGCGTGTTTGATAAATATGTATTGATAATGCACTTCTACACCCACCCCCACCATCCCTAAGTATAACATCAGGCAAAACCTGTATGTGCTGCATCACACAAGAGCTTCAAGATTCCAAACTCTTCGGAACAAGAACTTCAGCCCCTATTCTTTAGTTGCTCTAGTTTCCGAAACAACCGTTCAAGCTCCACCCCCCATTCCTCCTTTACCACTATCGGTTCCAAATCATCCAACTCCACAGAGCTCAAAGCATTCCGCCCACTCCCTCTCCCTCGCCCCCTCATCCCCTTCACCCTCCTCTGTCCCTCCTCATCCTCACTATCAGAAGAAGCCGCAGCGGCAGCGGCGGCGGCGGCAGCGGCAGAGGCAGCAGCTCTCTCCTCAGCCATTCGCTGCATGCCGGCCAGAACCATCTCGCCTGTGATTGGTGGCAGCTGTCGCCGAGGTCGAGACGAGGACAAACCATCAGAAAGACCACCACCACCACCACCACCACCACCACCACCACCACCACCACCACCACCACCACCACCACCACCACCACCACCACCACCACCACCACCACCACCACCACCACCACCACCACCACCACCACCACCACACCACCACCACCACCACCACCACCACCACCACCACCACCACCACCACCACCACCACCACCACCACCACCACCACCACCACCACCACCACCACCACCACCACCACCACCACCACCACCACCACCACCACCACCACCACCACCACCACCACCACCACCACCACCACCACCACCACCACCACCACCACCACCACCACCACCACCACCACCACCACCACCACCACCACCACCACCACCACCACCACCACCACCACCACCACCACCACCACCACCACCACCACCACCACCACCACCACCACCACCACCACCACCACCACCACCACCACCACCACCACCACCACCACCACCACCACCATCACGACCGTTCACCTCAGAGTCTATTGACGACCAGACCTCCTTCCAGTCCTTCTCTTCTGTGCCTGACACGACGCCCTTCCTTGCATCCTCCGCATCCCCTTCACTTCCACTTTCGCTGCCGCTATCGCTGTCATTCCCACTGGCATTACCAGATTTGCTTCTCCTGCTCCAGCTTCTCCTCGTGTTTATGCTGCCAGAAGCACCAGCGGTAACAGTGCCTGACTTAACACCACCAGCACTGCTGCCATTCTGACTGCCGCTGCTGGTTCTCTGCTTCTGCTTCAACTTCTGCTTCTCCTGCTGCTGCTGCCGCTTATTCTGCTGCTCCTCCCGCTCCTGCTGAGTCCTTACGTCCGTCTTGGAGCCTGTTCTCTCTTCCGTTTTGCTGTATTTTTCCCATCTGGATGCACTGCTTCGCCCACTCTCCTTATTCTCACCCCCACTCTCCTCGCCTTTTCTTGCACCCCCACTCTCCTTTCCACCCCCCCTCTCGCCTTCTCCCCACGCTGCCCACTCCTGCTTGCTTTACTGCCAACCCCTGCTCCCTTTTCATCCACCCTCGACCCGTTCCCCTTCTCTCCTTTCCCCATATCCTCTTTAACCTCCTCTCCCTTCTCCCCCTCTACTCTGACCACCTCTCCTCTCTCCGCCTCTCTTCTTCTGCTCCTGACAGCACCGGTTTGGCCCGCAGCACCAACCTCAACACTGCTCCCATCAGCGCTCTCAACCCGGCGACCTTTTCCCATCTCTCTCTCCTCCCCCCTCAGTTCACCTTGCTCCTCCGGATCATCCCACGGGTATCGCGCCTCTGTTTCTTGCACCTGCACCTTCATACGTGCGCCTGCTTTGTTTCCTACCTTCATCCCCGTCGGTTCTCCTCTTTCCTCAGCAGCACGGCTCACAGGCACTGCGTCCTGCTGCTGCCTCTCTGCTGCTTTACCTCCCGGTACTTCTACTTTCCTGCCCTCTGACCCGTTTCTAATTTGAATTGACTCAGAAGGCACTTCCTGTTGCTGCCCCTGCCGCTGTCGCTGCTTCTCGGCTGATTTAACCTCTGCTGATTTTATCTCCACTGGTTTACTCTCTGCTCCTTGCATCTGAGCCTGCAGCGCCCGCAGTTGATCCACGTACCCTAACCCGCTTCCTGCCTGCCCCGTTCTCTTCTCTTTCTGCCCTGACTTCGCCTCTCGCTCCTGCCCGTCTGTTCTCAATCCTCCCTGAATGCTCCCTGCTGCCACTCCTCCTCGCTGTTGTCGCTTCTGACGAGTCCCCGGAGGTCGACCGTTTGTATCGCCTTCGCCACCTGTTGTTCCTCCCTTGCCATTCCCCCGTGCTCCTTCTAGCCTTGAACTCACTCTCAACCCCTTCGAGCCCCGTTCTCCTTCCACGTGTTGCTGCTGTTTTTGCTGCTGCTTCGGTTGCTGCTGTGTCCGCTTCGACCCCTGCTCCCCCGGTCTCTTCTCCTGCTGCTGCTGCTGCTGCTGCTGCTGCTGCATCTCGTTTCTACTTGAATCCCTCCCAGCGCTCGCTCCGCCATCGATCCCTGTACCAGAAGCATCCCCAGCACGCTTTCCAACCTGCGTCTCTGCCTCTCTTGCTGTTATTCCGTCTGTCGCGCTCTTCCCCTTCCCCGTGCTGGAAGATTCACGAGTCGCCGTGGTGGGAGACTTTTCAGTCAACTCAAAAGTCATTCCGTCTGTCACGCTCTTCCCCTTCCCCGTGCTAGACGATTCACGAGTCGCTGTGGAGGGAGACTTGGGAGTTCTAGAAGTCGGGATTAGAGAAGCCAGCTTGGCGAACGGTCCTGACGCATCGTCTCCGGAGCCCAAACGCGCTGAAATCGCGGGAGCCAATCGCCTCCTCGAACGCGCGAAGCTCCCGCTATAAGCAGACCACGTTATGCCCATCGCCGTTCGGCAGGTAGAAACCGTTCGGCTGGTACACACCATTTGGAAAATCGAACCTGTTCGACCGCCGATAGAAGCCATTCTTCGGGTAAACAGCTCGGATCCGCTATCCGACAAACGATGCCTGACAATTTGCCTCTGAGAAGCCGAGAATGATGTTCGATCTATATAGAAACTACAGCGGAAGGACTCGTTTATTGGCAAGGCTCGCAAATCCCTGTTCTGCCAGGCAAGGCGTTCCAAAGTCCGGCGACTGCTCGTCGCAGGATGTCGCACATGCGATCGTGGGTGGACTGTAGCTAGATTTTGCACGCTGACTGTGATCGACGAACCGCAGCATGGGTGCACGGCGGCCTGCTGCTGCCATGAACATGCGGCACTTTGTACGGAAGGTGGAGCCATGCGCGCGAACACTGCCGACGTACTGAAGGGAAGATAATTGCGCGGGAAGTAAACTGTGTCCTCCGAGGTTAGTTGGGTCCTAGAGACGTCAATGAACAGAATAGTAAGGCGGAGGTGTGCGGAATAAAATAGGTTCTTGGGAGTGACGTGACGTGTGCTGTTCCGGTGCGCAACAGCACGGCCGACTTTGTGCGCGATAGCGGAGGCTTCCGCAAATATTCATGACACAGGGAAACGAAATGTACATTATGACATTAATTAAAATAAAATATATACATATTTCAATTTCAGATCTAGCAGAGAACTTCATTACATCCTATGCTTGGCCTTCTCTGTACAGCAACTCCATTTGTAGGAGGGGGGTTTGTGGGCATTGAAACCGACCCTCCCCTCCCATCAAGACCAATTTCAACCACAGAACCGCCGCCATACCTTGCTGGCAATGCATCACCTAAATGATACCCTACACCTGGAACGAACTCTGGCAACACCCCAGCTGGTTTTGAGTACGGGTGCACACTAAACGATCCTCCATAAGAGGACATTGTCATACGGGTCACCTCAGATCGCATATCCTCCATAGCCTTCCTCTCAGCTTGCCTCTGTCGCCACATGCACACCCCACACACCGCACAGCCACAACATACAAGCACAATCACCACAATCACAACCACGATAATCGCAATCATTCCGGCTCCCAAACCAGAAGTGCCATTTTTACTCGCACTTTGTCCCTCGTTCCCCTTCGAGCTGGGAAACGAACTAGGGCCCTTGACAACCCCAGCACCATCATTTCCTGTGCTTCCAGGAGGTTTGGAATCTGATGGATATGGCGAAGGAAATGACGTAGCTCCTTCAGGTAGGGTGCACCACTGGAAGGCTCGGCCGAGGCTCTGGTTTGGGTCGGTAGTCCAGCCTTGGGAGCAGATGCACTGGCTGCTTCCAGGTGCTGCTGGCGTTCCATTGGGCCCACAATCAAAAGGCTGATGAGGGGGAGGTGGTGCTGAGGCCTGTGCTTGTGGCGAGGATGGTTGTAACGGGTATGGGGGGGTAGCAGGTGAGAATGGTGAGCCCGGTAGAGGAGGTTGAAAGGAGCTACCAGTAGGAGGAAGGGGAGAGGTGGGAAGGGGGAATGGAGACGGATAGGAGGGAACTGCAGGGGAGGCTGAGGGAGGGATTTGCGGTTGGAGCCAGGGGGAAGGCGGAAGGGAGGGGGAAGGGGGGCTAGGCGGGGGAGGGGAAGTGCAGATGAATCCGGGGAGGCAAGAAGTTGCGTAAGGGGATGGCGGAAGGGAAGCCTCGCATAAATTCTTGATGGTGTTCCAGATGGGTCTGAAAGGGCCGTATTTGGTGCTGCAGTCGACTGCACGGCACCACGGGAAAGCGTCTCCCGTTATAAGCTCCTGATCTACAGTGCATGTGATGCAATAGAGGCGGTAGTTGTACGCGATTAGAACGCCTGGCGGTGGACACGGAGGGGAGGCGGATTGAAGTATCTTCCTCCCGTGGTTACTACCAATAGTTGCTGGCGAGGGAAATGCAGGGTCGGATGGCGATGGCATAGCCGACACCATTCTTCCGAAATGGTGCTGTCGGATTCTGAAACGATGAGGTTGGCGTGATCAGGTTGAGAAAGAAAAACTACGCATGGCGCGAGGCGCGGCATGAATGACAATCGGACCAATTTTCAAGATGGCGCGTGGCGGGATAAACAACAGACTGAAGATTACGCAAAGGCGATAAAATAAAAAGACCTTACATGATGAGAATAAATGCGATATGAAACGACGCCCATAATGGAACCTTCATTTCTTTATCAGCCATGTTATGCCTGGAACATTGAAGTCATTAGAATACAGCCGTGTCCTGTATTTCTATGGCTATACGTGAAGCCGCGCACCTGGGGTTGTGACGTTAAAGGATACCTGACACGCGAGAGGTGACGATTCAATTCGACTCCAAACCAGACATGCAAGGATACCTGTATAACGCTGCTGCTGCTGTTGAAAAAGTCTTCTTGAAACTAAATCGACCTAAAGAGGTTCCGAAGTATGAGACTCGAACGGGATTATGAAAATGAGATGCGAATGTCGAGGGCTTGAAAGCCAGCGGTGGAGGGGATGAACTGGGTGGAAAGTCGCCAGGTGCTGGCTTGAATCGCGTGCGACATCACGAGATCGCAAAAATTGACGCACCGGCATTGGCGAGCCACATCTGTGGCTGGGAACGAATTCTGTCAGCAAACCGGCAAACAGACGAAGATGAACCGGCATCTTCGCGAGGAAGGATGGGGGTTGTTCCTTGGATCCTTTGGAGGGCTCGTTTCAGCTTCGCACAGTTTGTTCGGCCTTTGGAATATGGTTACCCGATTGGGCTAGAACGGGTTCACAGCTGACCTCTGTTCGTTTTGGAGGTTGTGCACGAGCTTGTGTATGAACAGTAAATGTACGATCCGGACAACCCCTGGATCCCAAAGGCGCGTGGTCCGACTGGGCCTGATCGGACCAGAATCCAGCCAAACAAGGCTGGTTCCTTTTCGGGCAGACCGAGGTCCGAATCCGAACCGAACCCAATTCATTTTCCCCTCGATCGTTTCTTCGTCATGCAGATTCTCGACCCCTCTCCATTCTTCTCCACCCTTCTCAACTACTTTCCACTCTTTTCCACACTACCGTTTCCAATCTCTGCTGCACCCTCCTCAATCCAGTTCCAAGTCTCTCTGCTCATATTCCCCTTCATTTCCTTTTATACCGTCAGCTTCCCAAGGTTACACACCAGCACTCCATAGTCCGTCCCTGATAAGGTCCGTTAGCTTGGTCCGCCGGCCACTGCGACATGTTCTTGTCTCACCAGATCCCTCTCTTACGGTGGTCTAATTATGGTAGAAATATGTTCCCAGCTAAAGTGTTTGGTGTCAGATCGTCGTCTCAGAAAATTGAGCCTTCACAGATCAACTTCAGACAATGTCGCATTCCACAAGCATCAATTCTCTTCCTGACGATGTTCTTGCCAGGATCTTCTGCCATTCTGACCGGCCGACCTCCTCATTGTCTCTCTCCGACTACTATGGGGATGATAAACCAGATCGACAGCATGATCCTCATATTACTACGCCTCCCGCCTCTACCAATGTCGCTCACGTTCTCCTCATCGCCTCGGTCTGCCGTCGCTGGCGGAAGCTCGCACACGAATCCGTCACAACGCTTCAGGTTTTTCCAGATCGTTTCGTGTCTCGCCAGGATCTCAAACGCGTTGTGGGGTCCTTCCCAAATCTCACTCGCCTGCACTTGAGCAACGGAAGCATGGAAACCATCGACGACGATTTTCTCGCATTTCTCGGCTCTTGGTCTCCGAACCTAACCTCTCTTCATGTCGGCACAGGCATTGCTCCAGAGAATCGCTACCGGTGTAGCGAGGAGGAGACAGACGACTCAGATGATTCAGATCACCCTGTCACGGCAGCTGGGCTGGAAATTCTCTTCCGCGGTTGTCGCCGCTTGGAGCAGCTGTCACTCCAGTGCCTCCATTGGAAAACGAAGTTTCCGCTTTCGTTCTTTCAGCTGACGCGGCTGCACACGCTGTCCCTTGGGGAGATATCGTTGTTGAAGGACCCCAACTTCGCCAATCTGACTTCTCTCACGAAGCTTTCAATTCAGAAACGCGACATGCGGTT